AAGAACGGCATAGGCACTAAGAAAATGCCGACCAAAGTTTTTTCTCTCGTGCTTCGAAAGGTGGATGACGATGGAGACACTTTCACCGTCAGCGGTCACAGCAAGACAGGAAACACCAAGGGCGATCGTTCTTCAGTACATTCAGACCACGGGACGTATGAAAGAATCGGGATACTGATACTGGCCTGCGATGACGATAGGACAGAGGATTATGTAGTCGAAAATGGTAGAGATAGCGTGGTGAAGTTGATTTGACCGAATACTTTCCTTTTTTGTCAAAAGAACTTAGATTGTCAATATTTGGCCATTAGGTCAAGCTTTCTTATGTTGTAGGAGAAGCTTCTCACTAACTTTTGCTGGAGTATGTGATAATAAACTCGCTCGTCAATCGGTCTTGCATCGAATGGGCTCGGTACCGACGCATTGCAACTATGATACAATGACCTGAAAGCTAGACCATACCCGTCAGGTACTATAATTGATACTGACAGCAAGATTGCTCAAAGTGATGCTCGCATGGAGACTCGCGCCCGTCATACTGATACCGGCCTCAGATTGACAACGGCGTTATTCTCTTCTGTGGGAACGCTCTCCATCCAAAATCATAGGCAGGCCAGAAGCCGTTTCTTCTATTCAGGAAGGTAAGGTAGATCTCCATTCTTCCTCGCATTCGCTAGAAGCGGAGCCAAAGGCTTTTGGTACAACAACATGTAAGCTCTAGGGTAAGAGATCTCATGATAAGCCTCTTGGACGGAAGAATTCGGAACAAGCCAAATTGGAGGCGTTCACAAGGTTCAAGCCCCTTGCTAGCAGACTCTTGGCCGATGCCAATTGACTTGGCGGGCTTGCAGAACCAAAAGAACATTTGTGCGATCAAGACCTCTCAGCCTAACTCAGGTAGCGCGGAAGCGATTGACAATACATTAGCAGTTGCGTGAAGTTGATTAAGAATTCTGGCTATCAAACATCGAGATTTCGATACCAACAAGAGATCTATCGTGAAAAACCGAACGTAAAGGTGCAGCCAATCAAGTCCAGCAACCTGAGGAGGCTGCAAACTGCCTATCCGGACATACACTTCTGTCGAAATTTGAGACAGGACAAGAAACAACCCAGTCCCTTTCCATATTTTCAGCACACAACTATTATATAATTAGCTTGTCTCCAAGGCTTCGCTATTCGTTCTGGCATCAGATATCTTGGATGAATGTTTAGCGATGCTACGTTCTTCGCAAGCCGGTCCAGCAGCCCTTGCTGTTTCTGAATAGTACAAATTATCTCGGCTCGAGGGCATGTGAGACTGCAGCGTAACAAATCTGGACTTGCTTAACATTGTGGGATTTGCTAGTCTGTCCATACATCACGTTCAATGCCTAAACCATGCATATTGCGCAAATACTGTGTAGGACCAGCAGCGATGTGCTTGACAAGATCGTATCTCGACGCCCTTGGGTACCTTATCTTTCAACGGAGCACGCGATTGAGAGTGTGCATACCTGAGACAAAGTAAACGAAAGCAGAATGATCAGAAAACAGGCAAACGAATCCGTACATTCGACGCTCGAACTGTTCAGTCCAAATATCAGCACAAAATATCGCATCGAACACGCCCGCCCCCCGCTTGAACGATGGTACCCCGAGCGGTTTCCCTTCAGTCCACCGCAGAAGCCAGAATCCGTGTGACTTCCCCTTGGGGACATGAGAGAGGAGCTTCAAGAATTCAAATCAATGGTATTGGCTGACATACACCAGAAATCCATCGCATTATGGTGGCGCGCTGCAGCCGAGTCGTTTGTTGGACCGGTATTCCAGCCGCAGCCACCAACGGCGTTCACTCCGGCGTCACCAATTCTTAATTTCTTCCGACCCTTGTGGATAGAATCACCTTGGCGGCCCCATTTGGCGCCAACTACGGGGGGACAAAGAGGGGGAAGAGTGGGAATGGGGTAAAGTTGGAGAAGACGAGGGGGCGGAATCATGACAATTCATTCCCTGATCTCAAGCTTCTGATAGAGCTAAACAACCGGTTGCCCTTACAATTCGCCAGCAAGCCGTACGTTTTGCATACCAAAGATGCACATGTAGTCAAGGGATGAGCGGGGAAGTGGTGGTCTCTTGTTCTGGGGCTAAGAGTACCTCGCTCGGGAGGACGCCAATGATCCGGAGCATCCTACATGAAGTCATGTCTATGAGCATGCAGGCTTTGACCGCGTCTCTCCAATCAGTTGTGCCGCGGGTGGGAGATCTGGCGATATAATTGACCTCAACCTTTTCCGTCTGCTTCCCCCTCCACTTGGTAGAACATTTGGGCCCTCCGTTCTTGACTGACTTTGATCTGCTCTCGTGAGGCTTTGTTCTTCTAGTGGGCAACTACCTACATGTAATTACGGACAGCAGTGTGTTGATTGCACCCCTCTTGCCAAGACACCGAGAGCAAGCGTCTGCATGCCCAGCTACGCCTTCTGACGCTGGGCACTCTTGGCTACACATACCGTAGTAGGGTATAGCCTTTTTCACTTTTCAGCCAAGACAATCTTGTCGAGAGATGATCCATTTGATCGTTCTTGGATTGGGCCTGGGGTGCACCAGCACAACACCGGGGGAAGAATATGCCTCATAGGCCGTCACCGACAAATCAATCCTACGCCGCGCCGGTCAAGCACTAAATCGGGCCTGAGCTGGCAGCCCTGGGGAAATTCGCCTGGATATCCCGAATCGACGACCAGAATGAGTCGAACAAGTATCCCAGTCTATCTCGACTCCAACTGTTTAAGTAGCAGAGGGTCCGGTAAGGGTCACTATGGGGCTCGAGATCCGGGGAATCATCGCCGCGTCGCTTGTCAACTGTCAATCTCGTGTTGGGCAATTCCGGGGACGCGCCACCGGTACTGTCCCCTTGAAGCTCCAAATGAGACCTTCTTCCCCACGGCGTTCGTCCTGTCTCTAGCATTTCACTGCGAGGCCCCCACTCCGATGGAGCTGAGACCGCACAAATGCGACGAGGGCCTCCTTCATGCTTGACGCCAGAGCAGGTCTGCAAGGGTGGGCAGGTCAGACTACCTTTCGTGGATGGTCACCTGCGATCCTGCGTTTCTGCATTCGCACTGGACGTTGCTATGCTCGCAACTCGATCCTACATGGATGCCACCGATAGTTGGTCCATTGGGTGTCATTGAAGACAGCGGACATGAACATTAGCATTGCTCGACTGGTACCGCGGATATAGTCACTCCAACGTCTTGCAGACATAAGCTGGCCATCCTCCACCTGAACATCGCTGAATAGAGGCATACGGCCTCGAATATCCCATGTACTATGTGATACGAGCTTCTTAGCGAGCTCCTACGCCCGCTCTGATTGTGATAGTGGTTGTGTATCCAGCGCATCATAACGCACTAGACGCCCTAGAAGCGCTGCAGGGAAGGCTTCGTTCAAACTGGTTCGCCCCCGTCATCAAGGAAGCAACTAATTCAACCTTCTAGCCTGACTCCAAGTATTCTAGTGCGCGGCGCCAAAACGAAGCTTTCCCCTTCACGCAAGTGCCGAGCCAAATCGTAACCAGCCGACCTGCCTGCCCTCGCCAAGAATGAGGGCTTGAACTATGTCTGGCACGACCTATCATTGTTGGGAAAACAACGCAAACATAGATACAAGAACGTGCGTGAGCACACCACCGTAGATAAACACCTGGAGCCTGTCCGGGGCAAGTCAATGATTAGTGAATTACATTTCGTCTGCTCCGTCGACTAGGCTTGAAACAAGGTTGGCACTTGTTGGCCTTACTTGGCGCTGCGCCATCTCCCTGGCCCTGAGCGCATTTCACTCTCGGCAGCGCTTGTTGGCGGTGGTTTGGATTCTAGAACGCAGGGAACCATCGTTAGGTTGGCCCACCTTCTTCTACGACCAACCTTGAGCTGCGTCGTTCGACCCAGGAACCTGATCCCCTCTCCCAAAGAACTCACGCCACCATGCCCAACCTGCACTGAAGCAATCCAGCGAAGAGGAACGCGGGGAAAGCTGAGTTAGCGCGACACTGATTGCGCCCACTTTCCCCAGGTCAGAAACCGACCTCCCACTTCCCCGGACGGAGACACATGCACAGCCCACCCCGACTTGACCGGGTGCGGGCGTCCTTAAGTGAATGTGGCGGCCGAGGTGAGGCACTGGTATGGGAGTCTTGCCTATCACCCTCTTCTAAGTCGCATCACTATACGAGCAACACAATGTCGTCAACTCGGGACGAGTCATCAAGTCGCAGAGCCAAGAATTAGGCCCACCACGTTCATTCTCAAAAGCCATGCCTCCGGGGATTTTCATCCCTCGCTCGGCAGTCTATGTCACTACTTTGCAAACAAAATAACACGAGGCAACTGAGGAGAGGCACGCTACTACTTGCCAAGACACATGGACAGTCAAGGGTAGAAGGAAGGCAATGTCACATTCCCCAAGCTTGGTATTTCTTGGTAACTTTCTTCTGTAGCACAAAGTGATTCGTCGTGACTCCTGTCAACGCTTATAATAGCAGCTAGCTAGGAGCGTACACCACCAGCTCAAGTTGTGCGCGCTTCCAGGATCGCTGGCCACCCGCCTGGGCAAGTCTTCTCCTTCTTGGGAATGACTAGGGGGTGGTCGTTGGTGTTCGGAACATGTCGGGCGTGACTTGGCAGAAACAAAATCGGTGAGATTTCGTGATGAACATGTGTGGGTGTAAGCAACCCAAGACTCGCCGAGCCCATGCCCCTAGTCGATCGCGGGCACGACATGGGAGCACAACGTGGACGGAGGCTGGAGGTCATCCCACGAGGGTAAGGTCTGGGCATCCCCGCCTTGTACGAATACTTAAGAGCTCCAGACCCCGTGGGGAAATGGAAAATGAATCTCGCTAGACAGAGTGCAATCAGCTTAGCATTGCTAACATCAGTCTCAATATCTTCCTCCTCACTTCTTTTGTTGCTCGTCTGGACTTCCGAGAAGAAATTGCCAAAGCAAGAGCCGGAATCATGACCTCCAAAACCAATACCGCGGCTAATAATGAAGCCGACAGAGTCAAGGATATGGAGCCCCAAATCTTTGAGGACGAGAACCCAGAGAAGCCCATTCCAAGGAACACGGGCAAGATCGACTACTCTGGGGCTCAGGAGAAGACTGATCCCAAGGAAATCGCTCTTGTGAAGAAGTTAGACAGATGGATCATGGTATTTGAAACTCCAGATACCTTCTCTAAGTGACTATGGACTAACTAATGCTTTTCTTTAGCCGATGCTATGGTCCATGTACTGGCTGAATGTGAGTCCACATTTTGGAGCCTCTACGTCGTCAACACACACTAACGACTCTTGCAACAGTACCTTGACCGCAATGCCATTGCTTTGGCTCGTCTCAACGATCTCGAGAAAGACCTCAATTTAACTGGTTCTCGTACGTCTGACAATATTCGTTGGTGGTGTTAAGAATATCGCTAATGCCTCTATCTGACAGAGTACCAGACCTGTGTTTCGATTCTCTTCGTCGGTTACATTCTGTAAGATGCTCGTCGATGTTCACTTGTTTCATAACTAACACCATCCTACTAGAGGACAGATCCCTTCAAATATGTTCCTTACTCGAACCCGGCCTAGCCGCTATATGGTACTTCTTCACAGCCCCCGACTCTGAACGCAGGGAGATACTAAATCTGTTGCCTGTCTCCAGGGAATCATGATGATGCTCTGGGCTGTTGTTAGCGCTCTCACTGCAGTTTCCAAGGACTTCACCGGACTTCTCCTCACCCGGTTCTTTCTCGGAGTTACCGAAGCTCCATACTATCCCGGTGCTGTCTACTTGCTGAGTATCTTCTACACCCGAAAAGAGGTTGCCACTCGCATTGCTATCCTCTACACCGGAAATATTCTCGCCACTGCCTTCGCCGGCCTGATTGCTGCCGGGATTTTCCACGGCATGGATGACCTCGCGGGCATTGCAGGCTGGAAGTGGCTGTTCATCCTCCAAGGTGCTGTTACGTTCGTCATTGCAGTCATCGGCTTCTTTCTACTTCCCGACTTCCCACAGACCACCAAGTGGTTGACACAGGAAGAACGTGACCTCGCCTACAACCGTATGGAACTCGACACCGTTGCCAATAAGGGCGAGACCAGCACCTGGAACGGTCTGCGTCAAGCTGCCAAAGACCCCATGGTCTGGATCTTCTGTGCGATGGCCCACATGCATCTGGCTGCCAATGGTTTCAAGAACTTTGTAAGACTTTTATGACTCCTGATCGACATGTGAGAGAGGAGACGACTAACAATAAGTTCTTGAACAGTTTCCAAGCGTTGTCAAGACACTCGGCTTCAACACAACCATCACCCTCGTGCTCACCTGTCCCCCCTACCTCATTGCTGGTGCGGTTACCATTGCTGTGTCTTGGTCATCAGGCAAGTTCAATGAGCGCACATGGCATATCACCGCGTCCAAAGCCGTCGCCGTTGTCGGTTTTATTTCAGCCGCTGCCACAATGAACTTGGCTGGTCGATACGTCTCCATGGTGATCTTCACCATCGGTACATACGGAGTCAACTCGGTGCGATTATTCTCTCTCCAAAATCGTTGCAAAACTTTGCCATTGTAGCTGACTCCGGAAACAGTTGATCCTAGGTTGGTGCGGCAGTGTCTGTGGTCAAACAAAAGAGAAAAAGGCAGTGGCCATCTCCATGGTGACCATGATCATGAACGTCAGCTTCATTTGGACCCCATATCTTTGGCCCAGCAGCGACGAGCCTCGTTATGTCATCGCCATGTCAAGCAGCGCCGCGTTCAGCATTGCTACTGCTTTGCTGGCTTGGCTTGGAAAGATCATCTTGAAGAAGCGCAATGAGAAGCTCAGGGCTTCCCCTGACGAGACCGCCGTCTTTTATGTCTACTGAATGGAAACTTTGATACGAATTTCTTGCGGGGGACTGCTTTTTGCACACTCATACACACTCATTCAGAAGTATCACTACGGCTACGTCTGTGTTTGGAGCTGATCATATAAACATGCTGTAGTACCGTACTCGAGTAATGATATTCGTGTTTTTCCTCTGACCTTGCATTAATCGAATTTCAGCTTGATCTTGTCATCGCCCCTTCCCCCTGGTATCGAATTCGTGCTATTGGAGTTCACTTGATGAGGATTGGTGTGGTCGTTGATTGTGCTTTCATGGGTACCGGCTCTAGTATGGGCAAGATGGCCCACAGCTTTCTACCTGCTATCTCAATAAAGCTGCTAGAGCTCGATATTCTTTCTGTGGAAAATGCGTTTAGCTGCAAATCCTCACTCCTCGTTGGGAGATGATACTAAGGTGATGTTGTAAGCTGACGCGACATGGCTCCAGTCAATTCGCTTCCGCGTCTCTAATAGGGCAGCTGAGTCAAGGGTCAGATTTTGGTGCCGTTGAAGGAACATCTGAAGGCCGAATTATGCTGCATACGCTGGGATCGACGGATGTGGGTGGACAAGCGAGGCGGTTGGGGTCGCGATCAGTTGCTTAGCCTATTTTGACAGGAGGTATCTCTATTGTAGCGGCAACCTTTAAATGTCAGCCCTACCGCTCCTCTTTCACGTCGCTTTAAAGTCTCCATTGAATGTCCCAGAGCCGGGGAGTGCGAAGCCCTCGGTAACGCCAGCATCGACTCCACGGTTTTACCAGAAAAGCATAAGCTCGACCTTCCATGGCAGATAGAGCTCTTCAAAAGCCAATGGCCCCGGTGGCCCCGGTTTCGGCGCCCCAGATCCTCAGCTTTGCCCTCAGGGACCGGCCGAAGGTAAACCGCCGGAGACAAGCTCCGAAGTCTCGGGCAGGCTGTATCACATGCAAGTGAGTTACGAGCAACATGAAGACACAACAACTGCATCTGAGATATGCGTTCCGATCAATTCTCACCGATGCTTGTGATGCAGCGAGCTAACACAATCATTAGAAAACGACGCATCCGTTGCGATGAGGGGAAGCCATCCTGTCTAAATTGCGGCAAATCAAAGCGAACTTGCGAAGGATACGCACCAAAGTCCACGGGAAATGAACGTAGATTGCAGGAATACCGCCCACTGCTCATTCGACCCAACTACGAGATGTACATGTTCACTGCACAACTCGAGAAAGATCAATTCGAGTATTGGATGACATTCAGCAAGCAGTTTACTCTGTTTCCGTCGGATCTCATCACACAGCTCATACCACAAATTGCCCGTGAAGAGCCGGCCATCAGGCACGCAGCGTTTGCCATTGGCGCAGTCACTTTGGGCAGCGATAGTCGCCTACAACGCACCAGTGGCGCGGGTCCATTCATTAAGGATGCTTTGCAACATTATGGAAGAGCCATTCACATCATTCGATCCAGCGCATCATCAAAGAGAAGTATCCCTCGTGCTCTCCTCTCCTGTATTCTCTTCGTCGCCTTCGAAGCCATACAGGGCAACCATCTAGCTGCGCTCACCCATATAAATCATGGATGCAGTATGCTAGATCAAGTGATGAAACAGGGCGTGAGTGGAGAATGCCCTCCAAAGCTGATTGATGAGGTTATCTCAGGATTCCAGCGCTTCACCTTGTCATCATGGACCATGAATGGATATCACCCCACTGAGACTGAGACCTGGGTGCCTTGGTGCTGCCGCGGAAGAAGAAGTCGCTATGCAGTCGACGAGCTGCCAAAGAGCTTTGCAACGCTTTCAGAGGCTCATCGGTGGTGGGAGGCCATCCAACACTTCATTATATATCAAACAAAGATGCGTTCAGCATTGCATTTTGAAGACCTCGGGACTCCTTCAAACCTGACAAAGATCCCGAAACATCAGGTGAAGAGATACATGGGCATCCTCGACCGGTGGCACGTCCGATTCGAGGCGTTATCAATCACAAGGTCTCCGACAGAGGCAGTGCACAATGATCGAGCAAGCCTACAAAAGTTGAGCCTTCAGCTTTTATACAAGTCACTCGTCATTTCTGTGAAGAGCTCTCAATACACAAACACAGAAGTCCTAGTCGAGTCGACAGAGGAATTTAGTGAGATACTCGCTATGAGTAGGATCGTTCTCGAGGGACAATCAAATATGGACCCATCCAGGGAGGTTTTTACTATGGAAACCAGCCCGAGCTGGGCCATTCTTTCTGCGAGTATCTATTGTGTCGATGCAGAAGTTAGAAAAGAGGCTCACCGCCTGCTCGGGGACTTTCCCCGCCGGGATGGCATTTGGGATACCAAATTGTTCGCCGCCATTTCAAAGACCAGCCAAGACCTCCGCGCAGAAAACGACTGGAGAGTCGACGATCATGCTGGTGCAGTTCTGGTCAATAAAGAGGTTGTTCTATACGAGGATGAGGTGTTTAGGAGGAAGTATGAGCTAGCAGACGGCCAGTGGCGGATTGTGGAAGAGCAAAGGATACCGGTCGGTTTGGAGTGATTAAATGGTTGTGGGCTATTGCTAGACACTCAACTCTAAATACGAATAACTTGAAGGCAGTCGATATTTCTCAAAGGAGTCGTGACTGAAATACCTAAGAGCTCTGCGTTGCTAACCAGAAGAGAATATACTTACTGAGCATTTTGATAGAACATGTCAAAGACATATATGGAAACTAGTAATGAGCAATTTGACAGAGGCTCCGGGGCTGCGATGTCTTCCTCCACTGAAGCAGGTCCATGTTTTGTACTGTACCTTAGCTTATGAAAAGGCCAAGCTTTCAAGTTGGCAACTCCAGAAGCTGTGGTCACGCACACCCTAGAAGTCGTGACGACGACTCTATTTCCTCTCACCGAATTTGATTCTCGCGCAAGCGTCGAATTCCCAGAGGAGCAAAGTTCGCGCGCACCTCCTGCTTCTGATATCTGACGATCACATCGCTCGATCACTTCAGTTCATCGGGATACCTAGACGATATCCCATATAGTCCAGTGGTTAGGATACTCCGCTTTCAGTCTCGTGAAAGCGTTCCGGAGAGACCCGAGTTCGAACCTCGGTGTGGGAACATGCCTTTGATGATGAGGAGCATTTTTGCACTTTTGAAGCCGTGGTCTACCAGCCAACTACAAACAAACCGTCGATGCACTTCACTCAACCCCTACGATCATCTCGACACATCATATAGCACAAAGTAGATGTTTCGACGCCTCTTGAGCGGAGACGTTGCTGAGATGCCTCAGGGGCATCAATGGGCTGAACCCACGACGACTGGATGACTCCCAGGAGACTCTCAGCACTAAAACGTAGGAATCAACCTGACCATTATGATTTCTTAAATATATGGTAGATGTGTCACTTGATCGATACATAATAACACTCGGTCGACTCGTAGGTAAAGACAGAGGGCGGCTGTGAAGCCTGATGCGTAGGTCAGAGAGCTTGAGAGTCACGACTATCGGACAGTTGAATATTAGTATTGATCAGCCTTAAGGTCTTGTTCTGCGAGGTCAGATTATTGCTTATATGGATTGACGACGCTGAACTATCAAAGCGTGCCATTCCTCTTTATCAAATAAAACGACACAACGTTGTCAGAATGCTTTGAGTCGCGCTCAAACTCCCTGTGTGTCCGAAGCCAAAGTTATCGCGCAATGTATTGACATTGTAATATAGGTAGTAGAACGGCATCGGTATCTAAAAATCAACAAGTCGGCAGGATGCTAGAGACTAGCCTATCTCTACTCAATATCTGCGATCCAGCCTTCTTATCTGGCCTATTCAAAGATGGTCAAATCTTTGGAGATTTGAAGCTGGAGACTGACCCGTTTCAAGGAAAACGATCTTGCGGAATTCATCTTCCGCGCGGTAAGGTGTGGGGGTTATCTTCTCATCCCCGGCCCGTACACGACCCAGTGTTTACGCAACCGGTGTCATGTCTTTACTTGACAGGACACCTAACTTCAATCTGCTACCAAATGATTGCAATGATAAGATAATAGCATTGTTTTATCTTGGGAATGGAGCATCCTGGGGGAAGGGTTAATAGATTGGCGCACGCCGATGTACTAATCCGTGTTATCATCCGAAGATGATTTACGTGCCCCTCGCTGTGTAGGATAGAACTCGATATGCTACGCCCAATGATGCAAAAAGTATAGAGAGACCTTCAACTGTACTAGACATTTTAAAGAAGCGTTCGCTCCTTGCCTCTGAGACTGAGTCGCGGGAAGATCCAGCAATATCCTCCTAGCAGCTGTGCCATCCAGCCAACTGAGATTCTCACCTGCCTCACACGCGTAGAAACGATGACCATAAGACACGAAAAGACACATTCAGTCGACCTTTAGAATAGGCTCGACGAGAACGTCGACAATGTCTATCTCGAAGCAGGCTCTCAGAGCCTCCCATCGAAGAACTGGCTTACCAGGTTACGGAACGCCTTGTTGCGCTCTGCTGAGACTCGAGGCGTGGCACCTATTCCGATTGAAGAGAGAAGCGACAGGGATACTTTTAAATCATTCACGTTGTGGCTCACTGCAAACTGCACTACCCTCCCGTATGTTTCGAAATTTCTTGCTGAATTATCGCACCTCCGCGCGTAAGACTTGCTATAGTTCGCCAAGCTGATGAATACCATAAGTATGACCACTGGCATATCCGGAACCCTAAGCTTGGACTAGATCCTACTGTTGCTTCAGTAGTCATCGTGCTAAGCACCCTCTTATTCATCCTTCCCGTTGCCTGGATGGGAATGATGGGGCCGAAGACTGGCATGAGTCAAATGGTTCAGACTAGATACTACTTCTGGTATTACTCAATCTCACGCTTGATGAAGGTTTCTTTCATTGTAGCTAACTCGGAAACCAGCTACTACCTTTCCATCGGCATTGCGCTGCTACAAATCGCCACCTTGATCGGTTACACCATCATGACATCTATTGTCAGTGGGTCGACTTTCACGGCTGGTTCTGAAGGCGACCTCAGCTTGATTGTGGGTATCACAATCAGTGTTGTTGGCGCACTGCCCGTATCCTTCTTGGGCCACAAGTATCTGCATTACATTGATTGATACTTGTGGGCTCCATCTTTTGTTGCTCTCGTCATTGTTGCCGGCGTCAGTGGCAAGGCGCTTGCTGGTACAGGTGCCGAGACTGTTGCGAGTTCACCAAGGACTGTCTTGACGTTTGCCGCTGCGTGTGCAAGTCTGTGTACTAGTTGGGCTCCGTTGGTATCGGACTTCGCCGTCTACATCGACTCATTCACGCCAAGGTAGGTCTTGACTTGCGCATCACCGAGACTGGATTAGGCTTACGCCATCTACAACAGAATCAAGATCTTCTTATGCGTGTACGTAGGGCACAGTGTCCCTTCAATTCTGCTACTCATTCTAGGTGCCGCTGCAGGTGCCGCTGTGCCAGCAAACGAGACTTGGGCTCAGGCCTACGGTCTCTACTCCGTTGGTGGTATCATCAATGCCATAACACTCCTCTGGGAGGATTCGGAAAGTTCGTCTCGGTCCTGTTGGCGTTCCTGTGCTTGGTCTCACAGCCTGCACACTATATTCGCTCTCTATCAGCTTTCAGTCTCTCCATCCGATTCTCAGTCGCCTTCCCCGGTATCTATGTTCGCTTGTCATTGTGGCAATCATTGTGCCCATCTCAATTGTTGCCAGCTCCAACATATACAACTCTCTATCGAACTTCCTGAGCGTCGTTGGCTACTGGACGACTTCGTACACTAGTATCGCGCTTACTGAGCACTTTCGCTTTCGTCGGGGCCGGTATTCTGCGTACAACATCTCTGACTGGGATAATCCAAAGGCACTCCCGCTTGGATTCGCGGCCTTGGCATCGCTCTGTTGTTCTTTCGGACTGATCGTCCCTTCTATGGATACTGCGAGGTACCCATTGCAGTACGGACCGGCGATATCGGTATGCAATTGGGAATTGCTCTCGGTTCACTGATGTATATAGTGCTGAGAGGTGCCGAATCACAATGGAAAGGTCGAGGTAGATCATCTTAGTAGAAGATTTGTTTACTTGCCATCTCCCTCACCATAGTCTCCGAACTTTTGAAGCAGTTTGATTTCCTAATTAAAAAAAAGATGTAGCTTCACTGTCCCTAGCTCAAAACTGGAGACCGCTGTTCAGAGGTAGTGAGTGGTATCGTCATTGTCACCGAAGGTTGTCTCGGGGTCCCCTCAATGGACTTCCGTCATGCCTGCCGCATGGCTTTACCGTAGTAATTTGAATGAAGTAGCCTCCACGTAGTGGTCGGCAAATCCTCGAAGTGTCGCGTCGCTTGATGGCTGACCTCATCAACCCAGCGAATGTCGTGCTCACATCAGGTGCTCAAAGACTCCTCAATTGCATTTAAGAGCCGTGCCTACCCAGTTTTCCTTTTGCAATTAGACAACTTTATAGACTTGTCAATCTTCACATTGATAGTCGGTTGGGTTCCTCTAGCCCTCCCACGACAGCTGAACTAGACGCAAAGCGATGCGTTGATGTTCCTAACCAATTTCCGGCGTGCGACTTCGGCGGATTTGGCGGCCTTTGCAGTTGCCGACAAGACTACGAGCATATCTACGCATGACTTCAAGAATAAGCAATAATCTATCAGGCGCTCTCGAAACATATGTATTACAAACGGCCCGAACGAAAAGTCCAAAGCAATCGAAAAGAACTGCCACGTCAAGCGTCGGACAATGCCCGGCCTCTTGTGAAAGCAAAGAGTGCATCTGGGCCCAGAAATCCGCTGCGACTCTGCGGAGAAGTATGCCGACCATGTCCTGGGCCCCGGCCGATGGCCGCCGTTGAAATGGAAAAGCAATGGGATGCACGAGATCGGGGCACTGTCAATCTAAGCTGCTTTCAGGGGAAAAAGAAAAGGCACGAAAACAAGACCAAAAGACCTTAGCAATCAATGCGAGCCGGCATCAAGCCGCCCGAACGGCTGTCGCAAGACTAAGATTCCATTCGGGTCGCAGCCGACGTTACCCTCTCTCCTCCCATACGAAAAAACAAGGCACTAAGCGCCGACGTCGAGTCGCCTTGCCGGTCACAAGCAGCCTCGGGGGCTTCAGCTCGGAAATTCTTGGACATTGACGATCCCCTCTCAAGTCTCATTGTTAGACGGGTCATTGGAAACACACCAATTCGCCTGGTGCGACGCTTGCTAGTTAGGGGGGGGGGGGGGGGGGGGTAAAGACGCGGCAACCAACAACGGCGCGGAAAAGCCAAACGCGACGGGGAAGTTCACCATTCGCCACAGCAGACTCTAGGCTATTCTTTGCCGAAATTTGCATCATCACAAGGCTTACGCGACTGGCTGTGAACCACGTTGCCTTTCAATTTCCATAGAGTCGACTCGTGGGAAATCTCAGCAAGAATTGAGGAGAGACGTTCTTCATCAATATCAGCGAGAGAATATCAGTGGCTCGGAGTCTCATCCCCACAGAACTAGGCAGGCCAGGGAGCGACCATCTGTTCACAGACCGTTCTGCCGTCAGTGCCGCGAGGCGAGATGAGGTAGGCAGATCTCTCTCAGATGGCTTCGCACGCACGCACGCCCAGGTACGACACGCGCCGTTCATAGAGCTACGGCCTCGGGCGTCCACTGTCGCGCGCGGAGCTTCGTGGCCAACGAGGTGAACACTGAATAAGCATCCTGGAGGCAGAGCGCCATGTGTGATGCAAGATGAAGTATGGCACAACCTTAAGCTCTTCCCAAGCTACCTGACGCCACGCCACGATGGGCTACTGTACAGCGAGTATGTGTCGGTGGCAATCAACGTCTCTTCACGAGAGGAAGAGACCAACTCGCGCTAGGAACTTGGCTCAGGTCTCGGTCAGAGGAAGACAGAAGGGGAGGAGGTCTAGGGGCGGGAGGGGAGGGAGGGGGAGCGGACAGCCGGCTTGTTCGGCCGATCTCTGGCGCACCTCGAGCCATATCCGCCAGCGAACCCCTGTACCGCCCCAGCAAAAGGACCGGACTGGGCTCTTTCCAACTCCAACCAGCTAAAGAACCGGCAAAGGCAGCATCGGGGCCCTCGTTGTAGTCGTCTGTTCCCGCTCGCTCTGGTTTAGAGTTAAATCAAAAGCGGTCAGCCGTTGATGAGACGAGGATCTCTCATCAAAGGTCAAACCGCGGTCAAATCCATCCACGGAAAGAAAGGAAATGATGGATTGGTTTTTCTATCAGTCTTGTCAGTGTCAACGTCAACGTCAATGTCAAGTGTCAGTGTCACGATGTATCTACCTACATGTGACAGAAGCAAATATGGCATGGAGCCTGATCCGTCGCCAACGTCAGCAATCTATGGAGTGTAAGGTACAAATGTGCCATAATCAGATGCTTTTTCATTCTTCTTCGTCTCCTTGCCGCACTTTTCGATATTTTCCTGCAGAAAGACGTAAAAAGGAAGCAGCTTCACCTCGGCAGGCTTGCATCTAAGCAGCACTGCAGCAGTCAGGGACAGGGGCACCCAGGCAGCGCCATTCCGACAAGGGAATGGCTTCGTGCGGGGGAAATTGGCATCTCCCCAGACAAGCTGCGATGTGGCCCTCCCCTTCCTGGGCCTCGTCCAAGCTAAAATTTGTCCTTGTCCACGTCGTCAAACGGACGCGAAGGGTGCAGAGCCTGGCTTGGTGTGGTGAGATTGACCCAATCAAGGCAGACATGACACACGGGTGTTACCTCGATGGGATACCAGAGAGAGGGGGATCACGGTGGTTGCTTGTGGCTGCCGTGGTGTTCCTGCATCTGCCCACCTTATCTTGCCTGTGTCTGGATTGTATGTCTGGTGCCACCATCTTTCTCTTAACCTTAGGGCGCCAGACCCGGATGGATTGGCAAACCTTTTTCAGCTCAAGTTACCGAAACGCGCGACCTTTGCGTATCCGCATTATGGACTTGGACGGGCAAAAGTGGCCATTCAAGCTAACAGAGTTCGCATAATCACCAAGTCGCCCAGATCCCTCTACGGAAGCAGAGGCAACACGATTGGGATGGCGTCTTCAATGGCCTTTACGAAGTGGTATCAAGGTGTTCTAGATGGTTCAATACGGGCAAAGACTGGAGCTATAGTTCCGAGTGCGCTTGTGCCACCCAACAAACAGTCCAATATCATCCCGCATGTGGCAATGTGGCCTTGGTCAAGGAAGTCCAAGAACCATCATCATCTTCTCAATTAACTTTGCAGAGTCTAGAAGCCCCCAAAACTTACTTCACGAGGAACCATGGCCAGAGGTTCATCTGACAGCTCCGGACTTCAGCTCGTCTGACTTCTGATTCTCTAGAGACGCTTGGCCAATGGCAACTTTTCGATTTCCCCATCAATAGCGTGACAAGCAGCCAAGAGATGCTCCCGCCATTGTCCCCAGTCACCCCGGATTTGGCCTGGAAAGTGGAAAGGAGGAGAGAAATTTGATCCCAGCTACGGAGAATTCTCCATTTCCGAGAGCAATTGACTCAATAATACATGTAACCACAAGTGTTGCACGTCCGCCAGATCCCATACACAATTTCACCAGTCATGGGATTCAACGCTTATTGAAGCGCAGCGCCATGTCAGCTAACTACTAAGATGAGTGGATTGGCTCCGAAATTACGCCCGACCGAACATACAAAAGTCCAGCTTCCCAACACTGCAAAGCCCATGTCCATCTGCATCATGCCACTCCCCTGATGGGGAATCGATCTCCTTCTTCACATGTCCAACGAGATGAGTACCGAGCACAACCTGCGGCCTTTACACACACAGAGACACCACTTTTTCTCCAATACGCGCCCTCGCGCCATAATGGCCAGGATTCGGAACTTAGCTAAGAGGCAATAGAGGTCAAAAAAGCCCACTTCCCCGGCCTCGCCTTGACCCAAGAAGATCCCCGTCCTAACGGAGGATACTGTCCAATCCGGTATTCCCACCCGTCCACACCCCCTGCTCCTCTGCAACCCTCGCCTTTGCTCTATACGATCACCGGCGCAGCCCTGAGGCCTGCAGACCACTCGAAGGTCGGGTACGCGCGGGGAACTTTCGACTACGAGGTAGGCCCTGTTCTCGCTCTCTTCTTTTTTCATCATACCGTTGCAACGCGCATGCACATGCCGACCCCATTCGGACCTAGCAACCACTTCTCACGACCAGGGTCTCTCAGCTATCCACTTTCCCCCAGATTCTTGACTTGCTTGCGCAGTAACTCTACTGACGGAGGTCCTCATCCATCCGGGTTTTCTGTGACTACTTCAGTTGCTTGCCAGTAGTAGTCACTGGACTCGCTACAACTGCTTGTACATGCTCTCCAGGATGGAAGCCCACTTCTAGTCGTTTGCCCCGTCCCAGCCCTGAGAACCTTGGTTATTAGGCTCGCCAACTAGGTCCATGCAATTCCTTCTCCGTTATGAACCTCGAAGTCATCCCAGTCCGAACATCCCGCCTATACCCATACAGCCGAAAGGCATCAGGGTGCAACCACACGTACCCTCTACTCCGGCTTCTATCTACATAAAGTCTGCTCTCCCTCAGCTTTTCTCAGGCTCTCTCTTCTCCTCTGCTTCATCCACACTCGCTTGTCTTTCATACCGACACCTGATACCCACTACCACCTTACACTCACAACCCACCAACAAGCAACAATTATCAAAATGAAGTACGCGTATGCTCTCGCTGCCCTGGCCGCTGTCGTCGCCGCCCAGGTTGACCCTACCATCATCCCCGAGTGCGCTCGTCAGTGCTTGCTGGACGCCACTTCCTCGGCCACCAGCTGCAAGGCGGGCGACTACGTCTGTTCCTGCGAGCCCGCCAACAAGTCTGCCATCCAGGCCGCCGCCACTGGCTGCGTCGTCGGAGCCTGCGGTGCCGACGTTGCTCTGAGTATGTCTACATCCATTCCTATGTACTACCAAAGTAGTATCATCAGAAGGCTAATCTCACTTCTCAACAGACCAGGTCCTTCCCGCCTCCGACAAGCTTTGCGCCGCCGCTTCGGCCGGCTCTGGCATGTCTGCCTCAGCTTCCGCCTCCTCCTCGGCCGCTGCCTCCTCGGCTGCCTCTGCTGCCTCTTCGGTCCCCCCCGCCAGCATGCCTTCCGTTGCCTCCACCACGGCCGTGACCGTCACTGCCTCTCCCTCCGCCAGCAGCGTTGTCGTCACCTCTACCCGCGCCAGCAACGGCACCGCCTCTGCCTCTGGCACCGCTTCCGGTACCGCTGCCGCTACCACCTCCGCCGTCCAGGCTGGCGCTGCTGGCCTTGCCCCCATCGGCGGTCTTGCCATGCTGGTTCTCGGTGCTCTTGCCATCTAAGCTACCAGACCACTGGAAACATGGCTCTTGGAAGTAGAGCTCGCCCGGTGCTATCTGTTATAATAGATGGGTGGACTCTTTGTACGTTCATGAGAAAAGCCGGAACGAAACGATTCATGGTTGATGGTGGATGATCGAAGTTTTCTGCACCACCATACGGAGGTTTATTGCCCGAAGTCATGTGTTTGACATCGGGCATGTAGTTCAAGTCAAAAGCAATACAAGTTTTTTAATACCATTACTGAGTCTCTCTTCATTATCTTGCAAAACAAAGTCCAATATCGCTCCCTCTAAATTACCCTAGCAGGCTTGGGGCCGCATCAGAGGAACCAAAACACAACTGTCCATGTTAAGGTTATCAGCATCAAGATCTTCTTAGCTAGACGTCCGACGACAGGTGACCACGAGCTATGCGGGGTGTTCATGAGAATGTTTGCCTGCTTGCTAACATCCGGGCACTTCCCATCGAGCAGATCCTGCATGCTAGACCTCTTTCCCACGGCCGCTTTCCCGTCCGGCATGCACTCTCCCGCTTCGTACCCGCGCCTGAATTCGAGCGCATTGGCAAACATCCGCGCCTTCTGATCAGTGGTGAAGCCGTTCTGCGGTATTTTGCCACGGCACGAGGAGTACTGTTCTCCAACCAAAAGCTATCCGTTAGTGCTCTTCTTTGAGTCCAATATGAGGGCGGCAGGACACTGACACTCATGTAGTTATTGATCTCAACCGCTGGACCACCAACGCATGTTACCTGCGAGCATTGATAAACCACGTCACGATTACCCGAGGTCTGGGTCGCGTTTGTCAATCCATCTTGAATGAGACATTCCTGGCCGATCTCATTAAACGTATGCCCGAGACCAAACCAGTGACCAACATCGTGAACAAGTGTTGTGGCGTCGCCTCCCTGAACATGCGCCTCTTCAATTACAATACCGTCTGCTTCATCGAGCTGCTGGTTTGGGAACGTGACGTACTATGCATGATGATAATCAAGAGTTAGTCATTGTTTTCTTTCATGATCAGCTAGTTAGTTGGAATGGCCTTACGCTGTTGAGTTCCTGGTCATTCTTTTCACTGCTTCGCAACCCATTGACAATCCAAACGGTCAATGTTAGCTTTCCAGGCGCGCGTGTGCGGCGTTGCCAGTCTAATAATTTAGCCTCCTGTCTGGTTACTCTTGACCAGTCCTCATTTGCCTTTGGCTCCCACCAATTGAGTGCCATAAAGCGGAAGTTGATCCTCACTGCTCCCAGAGCCTCGTTCAGGACATCGATCTACACACCTTCAGTCCCAATACTCTGACAATCTCTACAATAGACGAGTAAGAGCTTACCTGTCCTTTCACCCTCGACTCCAGCTCATTTGGTTTCTCGGCGGTCGAAGAGGCTCTCATATAATGAAAATATACCCCAACATCCATAGAGTCAACTGCTTTGCAATTGCTAAAGCCTCGGAGGTCCCGTGATACTACTGGTATCCAGTCGAATACGTTGTCAACGAAGGCCTTTCTCCTTGCCAATCTCTGAGAGTATAGATTTTGGCACTCGGAAATATTGGCTGGGATGGAGATTTTTCCCATGTCGACAGGAGCAGGGTCCTTTTTGGCAAAGTACTCGAAATACGCCGTCTCAAGGATCGCCAGCGCCCGGGCATTGTTATTATTTATCGACTTTGCTGGAACATTGACATTGAGCTCGGCTTGAAACTGCTCAATCGTTGATTTATCGGGAGGTGTGACAACTTGAGACTCTGGGACCGCCAGAATTGCTGTTTCGTTAACACCTTGGAAGCTGTCCGATGGTTGAGCGGCAAAGGAGGCCGTAGTAGCTAGCTGTGGCGATGAGACTGTATAAGTAGCTTGACCGGCACCAAGAGAGCCGGTTCGAGACCTTTTCAGTTTAGCAAGAATTACTAAGGTATCAAGAAGCACTTACACTTGAGTCGATGCAACATTGCCCGGGTCATCAACTGCCCGAGTGCCTGACGCTTGAGGGGCACCAGGTGCAGTGGTTCCTGATCCCTGGACCTGGACTAACGTAGAGCTACCGGGACCTCTGGGTACGCTGGATTGCGCCTGAGAACTGCGCTGTGCTGAATTTGAGTTTGGAATACTTGCTGATGCTTCGCCGCTTTGTACAATTACTCTAGATGAAGGAACTTCCCTCGAGTCTGTTATCCCTCTCGAAGGGACCGCTTGACCAGACACGCTGACTTGGACCGAAGACGCTGCTTCTTTGGGAGAATTGGGAGAGGCAGGCACAGCAGATGATGCAGGAGCAGCCTTAGATGTGACCTCTACGTTCGCGGAGGAGGGCTTGATGATTTGAATAGAAGGCTGCGCTGAACTTGGACGAGCTTCTGATACGGGTGGTCTTGCTACGGAAGAAGCCTCTTGCGGTGTGTTGGGCCTGGTGCTTGCGGGTGGAGGAGCGGCTGGTTCTATATGCTCTCGTGTCAGCAAAGTCTCGCACAACAAGACATAAAGCAGCGAGTCCGCCTTAAGGGCCTTTCACTATTTGTACTGACCTGGAGAGCTGACTGGCACCGGCGGCCTGGCGACAGAAGATGCTGGAGCATCAGAAGTTGACAAGTTGCTGAAGTTTTGCGCAGACACCCAGGATAACGGCCCAGATAGGAGACAGATGAAGGCAAGGAATCTCATGTTGAAGTCAACTCGAATTCACTCCAATGGTTATTTTCAATATTGAATCTGGGCAGAGACATCTCAAGATGGGAAGACCGTGCCGATCATTATTATACGCTTCATGTGGACCATCTCCAGAACTCGCTTGAGCTATCCAAAACCGTTTGAAGAGGGTCTCTTCAACCAGATGGCTGGAATACGCCACGCTCGCTGCTAGCAGAGTAAGGCTGGATGCATTCGGCATTTTGATTCACACATGCGGGGAAAGCTGGCAGCTTGGGTAGATGAACGAGCTGAACAGCTTCTGCCAAGCCTGTCTCTTTGAGCCACAGACGTTGGCGGTGCTTCAGCCGCAGTGCTTCGATCCATCTCCGACGTCGTCTGCTGTGATAGGCGGATTTGACAACCTCCCCATATGGAGACCAATGTCTTGAGATATGTAGACAAAAGCTCCCCGCAGCTCCTATTCCGCGAACCACCCGAGGCAAATGCTTCGACGGTGTTGAATTCACTCCACAGAGCTGCTGATCATTCCAGCAGAAGCAGCAAAGATGGCTACGGGCAAACATGTCGTAATTGTTGTTTCAGTGCTATATGTTGCCTCATTCCACGATGCCAACAAGCGGTATTCCGTAAAATTTGGCTAGATTCTTCACTACAGGCGGGTCACATTCGAGGTCATTTTTTCAGGCGGGGAATGCAGCTTTCTCATTGACATATCAATGCTATTGCGCCACAACAGCCATTCGCTCGAATACCCTAGAGCGTATTGGATGTTTGCGGCAGTCGTGTGCTACTCCATAACCTACTAATACCAAATTGTAGAGCCATCCTAGAGCCCAGACTTGCGCCAAGGCTGGCCATTGAGGCGTCTCTCCGTCCTCGTGACATTTTTGCCAGGCATAACACCAGCTGCGCTTTTAGACAGGCAGGTAACATTCTTAACGCATCTTTAGCTTTGAGTTTAATTTCCTTAGCTTCCATGATTGCCGCCACGGCTCAGCCCTAGGACTGAGACACTGGAGTTTTGGGATAGACTGAAGTTCGGACCGAGAAACTGGATTGTGTCCCGCATCATCCGCGCCCAGGGTAGAGAATAGAAGACATCTTAGTGAGCTGAGCAATCAAGGACACCAATGAGAACCCACAATGGCGATCAAAGAGAGAAAATGCGGGCGAAAATTCGTCCCCAAAGATGGCGAGCCAAATATGCAGCAGCTGGTAGGACCGACCGACGCGCTGGGGTCCCTGCACCTACTTGTATATTTGCCCGTTTGCGTGAATGTGATTTGACTGTGCCTTATGTGCAGACACCAAGTGACGCGAAACATTCCAATGGTGCCTACGACGTCCCATGACGTGTGAGTCACCTATCCAATTACTTAATCCCCCCCACGAACACTAAAGTTACGTCAAAGTGATGTTCAAAAGCGAATCTTTGACTGATCAGACGTAGATGTAGCACAAGAATAAAGTAGCTGCGTTGTTCTAAGAATCAAAGCTGGGTCTACTCCAGCTCTGACATACAGCACTGCTCGTGTAACACCAAATATTTAATATTCGGTATCAGCCAAGTGATTACGTAATTGGCCCCATTCCACTTTTGTTGTCCATTTCGTGCCATGATATCTGGGAATGCCCTTAAATAGAAGAAGAGTCTAAACGAAAGTCAAGAAGAGAAACACCAGCTTTGTACTCCAGCCCCCAAGACCCCTCATATCAATCTATCAAGCCAGACTAAACTGGACGTTCACACCAAGAGTGTCGTAATTTTGTACAAGACGGAAACTACATTCTCGGAGCCCGACGACGGCCGAATTCATATCCACCGTAGATGGTCGACGCCGAAGTGTATTCATCAGACTTGCGAGTCTCAAAGGTCGTCGGGGTGGGCGATACCTCTGAAATGGAGGGGCTCACCAGGGACGGTCGAGCACTGGCCACGGTGGTGCCGAGATACTTGGTCGAACTCGACTCCTGGGACGACTGGGAAGATGAAGAGGGAGGATAGTCGTAACCACCAGGGATGCTGCTGGCAGTTGAGCTAATCAAAGTTGGAAGAGCACTCGAGATGGTGGTACCCAAGGTTGAGCTTGAAGCTGGGTAATAGGTGTCGTAGCCTCCAGGGATATCCGAAGTGCTGCTAGAGACGAGTGTAGGCTTGGCGCTGCCTACAGTAGTTTCCGGCCATGCGGTGGACTCCTGAGTGGAGGGAGGGTAGTCGTATCCGCCAGAAACGCTGCTCAGAGTTGCTGTACCTGTGGGTGTGACGAGAGTTGCCAGAGCGCTGGAGATTGTGAATCCCGGTGCAGAAGTGGAGGGAAGGGAAAGATACGACGACACAGACGTGGAAGTGGATTCGTCGTGAGTTGTACAAGGTTCCTTGGATGTAGTAGAGACAGCGCTGCTCCCGAGAGAGGTAGGAGTAGTGTTGGACAAGCTGGGGGCGGTGGTGGTAGGGTAGCCGAGCGTGGTGGAAAGCTGAATGGAGGTTGGTGATGAAACAGATGGAAAGCCACTGGAGACTCCTGTACCGCGACTAGTCGACGAGGAGGCAGCCCCGGTGCTGAGAGGTACGGTCTTCGTGAGGGTGACGACAACTGTAGTCCTCTTCGTGGTATGAGAAGTGGAGAGAGGGGGTGTGGATGCTCCAGGATGCTGAGACGAGACAGTGGTGTTGAAGACTGATGTGGTGGTGAGGGTGGTCAATGAATAGGATACAGGGGGGGCGATACTCGACTTGGATTGTGTGGAAAGAGACGGCAGAGGGGGAATGCTGATCGTGGGGATGCTTGGGATGCTTTGGGTCGTAACTTTTGAAGAAGTGGACGAGTCTGTGTTAGTGGTGCGGATGGTCTTGGTAACGGTGCGAGTGATATGAGTGCGGGTAGAGTTCGTCCAGAGGCTCGAGGGGAAGCCAGTGGTAACACTCGTGCCGGCAGTGCCAGTACCATGACCTTTGGAGCTGGGAAGGCTGAGGGTTCTGGGATATCAGTTAATATCAATGGCAACTGCGAAAGAACGTCAACTTACGACGAAGTATTGGTGGCCCAGGTTGGAGAGGAGCTCGGGGTGCCAGCACTAGGCAGCTGGGAGGAGAAAGTGACTCCCGTAGTTAGAGTCCATGATGACACTGCTCCGGTGGCTTCAGAAGAACTGCTAGAGCTAACGGAGGTGGACGAGTTGGTGTGACCGAGGGACGTAGACGCAGTAGGGAGAATGCTGGACGACAAGGACTTAGAGCTCAAGCTTCCTGGGATGCCCGTACTAGAAGGCTCGCAGGTGTGAATGTACGGAGGTGTCACAGTCAGGGTCTCTGTGATAGTCACGGTACTGGCACACTGAGAACCACAAGCAGTGACAGTGACCGTCGCCGGAGGATGCGGAATGAGGTAGTTGTTGGCGTTGGGAGGAATGGCGTTTACCAAAGAGGCACTGCAAAGTTGGGTCAGCGATGGTCGAGAAAAACATGTTTGAAGCCTCACCTAAGACCTAGAAGGACGAAGTAAAGTGCGACAGGGACCATGACTGGCAGAGGGTTCGGGATATCAAACGAGTGTGGCGTCGCAACAGCTGGTGCTTGCGGGTTTGAGATGAGAAGCGAAACTCCAGTACACCATTATGTCCGTCCAGACAGCTTTATATCAAGAAGGCCATCTTATGTACACCAATTCTAGATGACACGGCATATATCTCAGAGCATTCTCGATTGCAACGCCGACGGGAGGGCCGGCAGACATCCTCGTCACGGAAGCCGTTACCCCGGCCTAGAACGTCCTTCGGCGAGGCTTTTCATGCAGGGCGCCGCTGAGAGCCAACAACACAGCGATCGATTCAAGTATCTCCCTATTGAATTTCCGAGCTAAACAGAAGTTAGAGGCTTGCCCTCGTGGTTGTTTGAAGCGAGATCGCACAAGCCGCAACGTTCGAGATGCGTCGTTGCCACATGGGTCAAGGGGATGGGTACCTGATCTCATCTGAGCCAGACCGTCAGGATTGTTTGACAAAACCATTCGAACTTCACGAGTGATAATTTGAACCGAAAACAGATGGGATTTCTGGCAAGGAAAGCCATATAATTTAGCAATCTCAAGTAACGGCTACAACGTGTGATGCTACATAGCTTGGATGCGCTCCAGAGCTGGCACTTCAGGATGCAGTGTTCGTTTGCGGGTAGAATTTGGAAGACAAGATTAATGCCCTACCTTTTAGATTCGACGGGAAATCCTGGTAGGCAAACAAGAGCGGCGAGAAAACAGAGTCGTGTGAATGAGCACGGCTGCAGATGCCCTCGTTGCGGCTGCAGGTGTCCGTCCCACATAATCTCTGGCAGACAACCCACATAGTCAAATAACCTCATACGAGCAAAATAGGTAAGAAGTCCAAGTTCGCGTTACCCTGGCCTTAAGATTGGAGCATCGGAATACGATTTTGTGATCTGCGTGTTCTGGAGGGCACATGTACGAGAATCTGACATCCTCTTCGCCCCGAATTGTAGAATGTTTGAAGCTTCGAGCTTTTCCAATAACCTGGAATCACTATTCTCTAAGGATGCTCCAGCACGACTGATCCCGTATTTTTCATCAAGCATGAGATACTACGGTAGTGAGGGACTTTTTTGCTTTCACATTGGCTTCCAACAAGATGGTGTTACACCGACGCTAGTGCACGCATCTCGTGTGTGCATGTCTGCATTGACGTAGCTGCGGGTTTCCGACCATTCAGGGGTGGGACCAAACAGACAACATCTGTTCCCTTCATAACAAAAAGAAGTTTAGAGCCTGTGTCCTTGGTTGCAGGACCAGAGAATGCACCTACACATAAACACCATTTAGGCACTGGATTCACAGAAACAGTTCATTCTACTTGTAAGGTAGTTATACCGGGGAGGTGCATCCTGCAGATGAGCAACACGTACAATCAGATCCCGTAAACTTGACATTCTTGTCACATGTTGATTGCGGGAGTATGTGCGATTTCTGCGGCGGGAAGGATGAAGGAAGCACTTTTGTCTAGAAGTTTCCGTTGCAACAGAAAAGTCGGAAGTTTTCTAATCGGCCGAAGGCGGGAGTCATCTTCGTCACTTTGGAAGGATCAGCAGAGCTTCACGTCTTGTTTGCACTTCATCTCGGGTTGTGTGGGCCGTCTCACACCCGTTGATGTTTGTCCTTGTTGGTACTCGGAGATTTGGGCGAGCGGCTGTACTGGACTTGGGGGATAGTCCCTCTACAACACACCTTGATCTGCACGGGATGTTTTGTTTGACCAAACCTTGCCCCGACCTGTCCAGGCGACGGTATCACCTCGATGCGTGGCACGCGTGGCCAAAGGCGTTCGAAGTTACGGTTGTGCGCCACATCACCGAGGACGGGGGCCATGAGTCATTGATCCTCGTACAATGCGACTAAATTGGCACTCTGTGTAGAGTAAAGTAATGTTCACATACAGAGCAAAAACACGTATCTGAGACTGTCTTAAGCTCTGCGAGAGGAATCATTGCCAAGCTCTTCCACAATTGCAGGTTACACGGCCGGGTAAGGAGTCGTAAGGTGGTCACAATCGCGGCACCTATGTGTGCGATTCAATTCTCCTCGGCACGCCCAGCCGCTTGATTTGGTTGTGGCAGGTCCCGCTGGAATAGATGAAAGATCAAGTGCGTGATGCAACTGTCTCGCACTGCACCCTGGGAGAGTACCCTCGCCTCTTCGTCTTGCGAGCAAACAACTTTGGGATAAAGATGTGCAGTCTATTCATAGTCCCGCACCTCAAATTTCTGGATATTCTCTGGATAATCTCCATCCCAACATACTGTTCTCAGAGGACCGCCTTCAATGCCTTGAATGCATCATCTCGACTGCCCGAGAACCTGAGCTCTGAGGTCTTCCAGTTAATGACGTTCCAGATATTCTCCACGTATGCCGCCTTTCCATTAAGATACTATCACTCTCCTTGATTAGTCTACTAGAGTCTCAAGGACATGTTCTCATCGGCGGGGACGAACCTGTAGGTAGTACGCGTGCTCCCACATGTCGACACCAAAGATGGGCACACCCTTGGTGACGGGGTCCTGGTCCTTGGTGGTAACGATGCTGAGGCCTGTGACATCGTCCTTGACCAGCCAACCCCAGCCGCTGCCGGTGATACCAAGCAGAGCGGCATTAAAGGCCGCTTTGAATTGATCAAGGCTACCCCAGATACGAGTAACCTCGGCGATCAGCTTCGGTGCCGCATCAGGCGAAGCATCCGGGCTTGAAGCTGGGGAGAGGTTCTCCCAGAAGAGAGAGTGGTTTATGTGGCCACCGCCGTGAAAGTTGAGGGCTGCGAGGACCGTGAATCGACTTTGGAGAGGGTTCGCGTTGTAGGTCTCTATGGCTTTGTTCAAGTTCGTGACGTATGTTTGGTGACTGTTTAACTCAATGATTAGTGCCTTGGTGACGCATACTCCGTTTCTCCCCGGCACGATGCGGCTTACTGTTTGCTGTGATGTAGCTCCATGATTTGAGCCGAGATGTGAGGCTCGAGAGCCTGCGGATGAGATTAGCATATAGCGGCTCTATCGAGCAGTGATGGGAAACTAACATCGTAAGCGTAGGGAAGCTTAGGTAGCGTGTACTGCGCGCTGGTCATTGTCAAATATTGATGCCGGGTATGGTCTGGTTAGCTAGGCTGTGCAGCGAATATCGTGAGGTCTTGGAGCTGTGTGTAGATGAAGTTGAGTCAATAGGAAAGGGTATCGAGGGGTAAGAACTTAGAATCCAGAGTCACTCCCGCCGGCAAAGACATACAACCGGTCCAAATGAGGGGTAGAAGTGAGCACATTTCATCATCTAGGCAACAAGATTCGCCTTTTCCATGTCCGTTGAGGCCGAGGATGTGACAAACACCTTGATGGCTGCCCTTCCTCCGTCTCATTGACCGGCTCCATTCCGACATTGCATGGGTCATGGTGCTAACGCCCACCGACGATTCGGGCATCTCCACCAGCCCATATGCCTCGAGATTCAGTCCTCGTCAAGATACATCTTCGAGAGGACTGTTTTCAACTTCGATGTGTTTTTAGTAAAGTCAACAGTACGTAAGTCGTGGCGATATGTTTATGTCCCTAGCGCAGACCGGCTTGAACATGATCAATATTGCTCTAACTTGCTCACCAGGAAACCCGTGCAGGGCCCTCCAGTCCCAAAGTTGGGGTCAGCGATGTGCTATGATTGGCCAACTTATTGTTATTTACCCCCCGGTCCGCGACCCGTTCACTCTCGTTTTGGGATGACAGGGATAGAGAGACAGATTGAGCACCTTGAGGGAGTTATTAGGATCAATCGAGATGTTTAAAGCATCGCGAAGGCTCTACCTTTCGAGTTGCTGGTTTGTACAGTTGTTCCAATTCTCACAAGTCGGCCTTCCAACAGCATCCACCGACTTGCTAGCCATACTCACAACTCATTCACATCTCACCATGTGCGGCCCAGATACCTGCACCAAGCCCCGAGGCGGCGCTTTGGCTGTTCTCAACCAACCCTGCAGCCAGCACAGCCCGACAACACCGAAACAGCGCCTTCGCGGAGATCTCGCTTTTCATACGCCTGGTCAACCGGGATGCTCTTTGGCGACCCATGCACGAATCACAGGCGGCGAAGGTTGCGATTTACAGTCGTTGTCCGAGATGATTGTCGTGATACAGTAAGTAATGCTGACCTGAACGTCGCTAGGTGAGATTGAGTAGCATCAGGCATTAACAAAGCTCTTCTTAACAGTCAGTCCGGTGACCTCACTCGTAAACTTGAAGATTGCGGCTTGTTCGAACGCTTCGCCCTCTCCGGTGCCTCGATCCTCGAGAACGGTTCTATACTGGAGTTGGCGTTGAAAAGGCCAGTCTCGCTGGAAGTCGGCGATGATGGCATCATTGGCCGTAGAGTTTCTGTCTTTCCAGGGACAGGAATGGATCATGCATGCGCCGAGGGCATCGTTGGCTTCAATTTTGTCCACGCATTGTGAAAGCAGTAGATCGCATCTGACTTGAGGAACCTATTTTAGCATGGCATTTGGCGTTTGAGCGAGATTGGCGTTCATTATTCATTTATGATTTTAGTTCGTGGACTACCTTGGACTTGTAATCCCGAGCATGATTTTTATGTCCGTTAGCAAAATGAGTGCATCTCTATATTTGAGTCACAAAGTCCATGCACTCTGTGTCTCCGGATACTCGAATCTAGACACATCGATCCACGAGACATACGACACACCCATCTGTGTTTCCAATTTACTCGCGAATCCCTTTATTCAATGGCCTTACCTCACTTTACCGAAACATCCTCGCGCGTGTACACGCGACTGCATTTGACCACCATGGGAATCATCGCCCTGTAAGAGTAGAAAAGCCCTCCTGCAAGTCTCCAGGGCCGTTCGGGCTTTTAAGTACCAAGACACCTTCGTAGGGACCGTTTAAGCTAACTATTGCCCTACCCATCTGCTATTCAAGTTGATCTCTTGCTTCATAATGATGATTGATAATCCTTACAATACTTGACTCACATAGGGCCAAGAACGCCGAAGCTCTATTTTCAAGATGCATTAGTATGTGGAGGAACATGACCTTGCAATCGAGAGCGGTGTTAAACGGCTGATGGGATAGGCATCTTGCTACACCTTCGACCATTGTCGGTGACAGGAATGTCCGAGAAACCATGACATACAGTGGTAGCTTCTTAAGTAAGCACTGGACCTTTCAGTACGATGGGTACATGAGTGAGGACCTTGAATACGACTTCGCACTGCACATGTTGAAATAAACTAGAAAAGATTGAGTACTCCAGATCTTCTGGCAGCAATACTCTCAAGGTTAGAATTATGTAAGCTATCAGCAGTGACGACGATCTACGCCGTGTTGTCGACGGCCTCAGAAACGGCGCCGACTACCTTACGGAGTCAATACTCAACATCCAATTGGGTTGATTTTACAGACATATTGCATCATTCGTTGTGAAAATTAATCAATAAGAGAGGATATTTGAAGAAAAGAAATGCCCTGGTAAGTGGTACCTGGACGTATTGGTGAGACATCGTGACATCATGCGACAAAGCTACATCATATTCCACGTTGCCCAATATCCAAAGACGCGTTGATGTTATTGGAATGACTAATATAAACACATTGCAAGAGACGCCAGAAGGCCTTGCCACGTTCCGTATGCTAACTTCTAGCTGTCAAAGCGAATACGATGTGAGGTGACGATCAATACGAGGTACGAAATCGTGATACAAAATCCCCTCATACTTCGTCTAGCAAAATTATTCGGCAAGCCCCCGGAAAAATTCGCCTTTGCTACAAACGTTCTCAATGAGACTTTTTGAAGCACGAGACGCTTCTGCAAAGTCGATGACAGCGTCTGGTCTAGTGTCTCCACTTTAAACCGAAGAATGCAAATGGAAAACCAGATGGTGATAAGCGAAAACTATTTTCCTTGATGATTCTGCCAAGCCAGTTCGGCACTGCTGAGCTAATGTGAGACCCGATGTCTCTAGTTGGGTGAAGTCAAAAGCCAAAGGTATTCAGCCTTTTACATAGAGAAGGGGCTTGCGGAGTAGTCCCGACCCTAAGGTTAGTCTCGGCTATTCTTGGTTCTCGGGGAGCAACGTAGCATAGCTTGACTCGTGGGGGAGGGAGGCAAAATCAATGGTTGGGCAGAGCTTCACGGTTAGCATTTTCTTTCCATCGGTTCAGCGACCCGGGCCAAGAGGCTGGCGGACAGCGGAGCTGGATTGATCGGCCGTTCGGCAGCAACCGACTAACCCGGTCTTGGTCAAAGACAAGAGGGTCTCTAGTGGGCTGATTGGCACGCTTCCTCGCCGTGTCCCAAGCTGGAAAGCCAGGGTCTATTTTCAGCATGTTTCTGACGTCAAACAAACTCTGTCTTCAAAGAGCCTCTTCCCATTCTGGTGAGGTTCGGCCTGGTTGGGAACCGAAAGACAGCCCGATGGGTTGTTAAGCCCCTGCCACAAATATGGGGTCCTCTAGACGCTAGCTGAGCCATGAGATCATGAGGACCGTGGAGATATTGAGCTGTCAACTTTAACGGGTTAGTTGCCGGGGCGAACGGCTAAGGCGAGGTGGGTTGCTAGTCAATACGAACAACTTAGAACAATTTTCCCGCCCTTTCGGCTCCACTGACGAGCCTCTCGCACACAGGCGAACACGAGATGTTGAAGTTTCTCTCCAGAAGAGAGGCGGGGAGATCGACTTTGAGAGTCTTACGATGCTTCGAGTAACCTGTATATAACCATTGCAACATCGCTGCTGAAATGTTGTAATCCTCCTCATCACACTCAGCTTGATCAACAACATCAGCAACATCATCAACCTCCATTTTATCTACAGCCATTCATATCTACAATTGACATCCTCGGCATCTTTCAATCACATTCATCTTACCTTCAATCAATATGATGAACAAGATCGTCTTCGCTTTGGCCATGGCCTCCGCCGCCGTCGCGGCTCCTCTCAATGCCCGCCAGGACGCCTGCCAGGACGCCTACAAGGCCTGCATCGCCGCCGGTACCCCAGAGGTTGCCTGCTCATGCACTTTGACGGCCTGCGTCGGTGAGGATAACGCTCGCAACCGCGAGTACTGTGCCTCCGCGACAGCCAACCTCCCCAAGCCTACCTCTACCGGCATCCCCGGCGGCTGCAACCCGGCTCATCCCGGATCTTGCCCCTCTTCCTACTTCACCTACACTACTGCCACTGCTACCGCCGCTCCCGCGCCAACCTTCACTTCCATCTCCGGAATCCCGGGTGGCTGCAACCCTGCTCACCCCGGTTCCTGCCCCTCCTCCTACTTCACCTACCCGACCTTGTCCGCCACCGCTGTGCCCACTCCCGCACCCACCTCCGGATCCGGCGGAAGCGCCCCCGCCTACCCCAACCCTAAGGCAGTCGAGGGCAAGAAGTGGACGATCAAGGACATGATCCGCTACTGCGGCGAGAAGAACGACGGCTGCGACTACAACTTCGCCATCGAGGCTGACGGCAAGACTGAGCGCTGCACCGTCATCCGCATGCCCGGCTCCAACGCGGCCACCGAGAGCTGGTCCGACCAGCCCTGCACTTCCGGCTCCAACTTCAAGGTCTCTTGGGGCTACGTTGCCAACCCCGCCCCTGCTTTCGCTGTCGTCACCGTCGTCAACGGCAAGGAGCTTGCATGGTTCGGTGTCTCTGACATCAACGGCAAGCCTGTCACCACTGCTCCTTCCAGCCCCTTTGGCTCCGGACAGTTCGGCAACCTCGGCCCCGAGCAGGTTTACACCTACTAAGTGGCTTTGAATAATCTCGTACAAAAACTGCATTCATTGATTTTAGCGACTATTGATTTGACGATACGATACACCGAGGCATATGATACGAAGCATAGAGAAGGGATCCAAAACTAGACACTCATTATGATAATGTTAAATACTCCCTGTACATCATACATGTACAAATACACAATCCTTAAATATTAATGCAAAGTCTTCCGCGCCCAGCGTTTCTCCTGCCGTGGTGCGATGTGGAATCGTGTAATTGCTCTCGGCTGATAATTGTGTACAAAATCCGCAAATCTCAGATTCCACGAGCACAGACATGTCCTCACCGGACTGATTCATACTGGTGTTGATAGTCTGGACGCATGTCATGGTACAGATTTGTGCACGTGGCTAATATGACTCCTCTTATATGAAAGTGCCAACTGAGATCGCGGACTCGCCGTGGTAAAAAATAACGGGCAGATGTTTTAGATTTAGTCGGAAACCTTAATAAAGTTTGTAGTCCACTACATATTTGCACAAAACCCATCCAGATTATTGTACCAGAGATTGCACAGACTCATCATACTGAGTCAAGAAGCTTGAACGGGGTATTGTATGTTTAAAGAGTAGAAAAGGGGGAAATTGCAGCGTGATAAAAAGCCAGTGACGCGCCGGAACTCGACCTGTTTTGCGTGTTCCCAACTTTAGCAACGACTTCGCGAACACCCGAGTGCTCCCGAGATATCTGCAACACGCAACGGAATCGTAATTAGGTACATCAAATCTCCCAATCGAGCATCAGCGTTTGGCTTCTGTCGCAACCATGAAATTCATTACGGCAATTTCCTTCTTCTTTGCTGCGGTTGCATCCGCCCAGTCCTGCGTCGGTACCGAGCTCCAAGTTTGTGACGGCAACAGAATCAAATTCTGTAACCTTGCAAGAAACAACGTCTTCGATGTGAGCAATCTTATCCAAAGTCGTCTGTGCCAGATGCTTAACCTTTCTCTAGTACATGGACTGCGGCAGTCAGAAATGTCATAACGTCGTTGGAGGAGCAAACTGTCAATAGTCTGGGCGTGGCACTGAGCTTGGAGAGGGATATGTTGAATGAAATGACGTCGTCAGACATAGAGATACTGGAATAGAAGTCATTGGTATGGGCTAAGGCCCGTTTTGCGTACGTCACGAAGCACGGAATTTTGATTGTGAGCTTTCCCGGCGTAGTGTGAATGCCAAATCATCATTAGTGATTTCGTCGGGGCTTCCGTTTAACTGCCCGCTCATTGCACACTCTTGATTACTTTGCGAATGGAACACGCTTTCAAGTCATGGGCTAATTCAATACCGTTCAAAAGTCGTGCCGGCCATGTCAGGTGTACATATGACAGCGACGGATAGGTCGGAGTTTCTACAAACTGGGAATGGTGCTTGGCCCCGAGAACCAACACTAACATCCCGCTCAACTTAGAAGTCCTGGGTCACGGAGGGACCTATAGAACTCAGTTCAACGATTGTCAAAGTGTACCATGTTCTCGCTTGGCCACGTCACATTGCCTCAACTAGGTTGAATTTTGATGCATGCCCGGGACCAAGCTCGATATACGAACACTGGATTCTTCGCCCCTACTCACATTTTCCATAACTAGTTCATCTTCATCTACATCTTAGACCCAACCTTGGTGCCATTGTTCGGAAGTTTAGCCCTCAGCAACCCAAAAGGACGCTGTCTTGTGTCTGTCCCGGGATAGACCGCCGGGCCGAATGCCAGCTGATTGTTTGTGAAGTAGATATAGCCATCTGTGGCAACAGAGAACTTGAATTCCGCCTCAGTCAACCAAATATGTCCATGATGGAATTTAGAAACAGCTGGAGCTTACCGTGTCGGCCCAGTTGATTCTCGGATCTCGCAAAAACACCTGATCAGTCCCATTCTCGGGGTTGAAGAAGTTGATTGCGTTTTGCTCGAAATTCCCGTGGTAAATGAATCCATTCGTGTCCGTCTCAAAGCCGTCAGAAAGACCCCTCTGACTCTCCGTCACAACTGCTGCTTGAGCTCGTATCTCTGATGTTGGACCATTGTCTCGTAGACGTTCCGTGGGGATGCTGTACAGGTATCGGTTGCCAACGCCACCAAAGTACAACGTCTTGCCATCTTTGCCGAGAGCGATTCCATCAGCACCAAAGGTCAAATGACCGGCTCGATTGCCTGCCTGGTTCGCGTAGAGCTCACGGCCCCAGACAAATGCGAGAAACTGTCGGTCGCCTTGCACGTAAGGGCTTCCGTCAAGGTGCCTCCAGGATTCACCAGATCCGAGATCGACGACGATCAAGCCTGTCCGGCCCTCGCTCGAAGAGTCCGTGATGTAAGCAACACCTTCCCCGCTGCTGGTTAGACTAGGATCTAGGTCAAATCGCACGTCGTTCAGGTATGTATCCGGGTAGGCGACAGTATTGGGAAAGACGATAGTTTTGATGACCGAATTTGTGGTCAGATTGACGCCGACTAGCTTTGCGCCACCGACGCTGGCAGGGACGAGAACGCCCTGAGGTGTCAAGACCCTGCCAGTATCTAAAATCCAAAGGCGATCCGCACTGTCAATGACCACGCTTTGAACCCCAATCAGGTAGTTCTTGTAGTTCGCGCCCGTTGGAGGAGTAGTGGTGAAGTTGATTGCGCCGCCAGGTGGATTGTTGAACTCAGCACTTGGGTACGGCTTCTCGATATTGTTTTCAAAGAGTTCGGCAACCGTGTACTTGCCGTTGGTACCATCATTTGTGTTATTTGGGTCCAGACCACCGGGGTAATTTGAAAATCTCCGTCCAGTTGACGATACGGCAACGCCTATTCAAGTATATGAGCGGAATGCGCGAGTTTTCTTGACTTTGTGACATTACCCGTGGGCCACTGGTCGTTGTACAGATGAACGACTTCGAGGGACGGACCACTTCGTCCTGAATCAAAGATGAGTTTCTGCGCTCTCGCTGGAAAAAGACTAGCCAGAGTTGCGACCAATGTCAACTTGAGAGAAATCATGGCTGCTGAAAGCTTGAACTAGACCTGCTGCTGTTCTCAAGTGAGAGCTCACGGGGCACAACGCGTTTTGAGGCAGTAAATCAAAATGACTATTGCTTATATGCACTCCCTCACCTCGGAGACTTCGTGACCCATTGGATCCATGACGCATGCATCCACGTCTGTTCACATCACCTTGAGGATTGCAAAGCGCCAATATTCAGCGTGAGTGGTCAATTTTCTCATTCCTCGACTCGCAATTCTCCAGAGTTCGCATGCGGACACTCGCTTAATTGCCTGTATTTAGTCGCTAACCACCACTGCCGTGGCACTAATTGTTGGCGCTACCACTCCATGAGCTCATCCTGCGGGGAAGCTAGGATTTCAGTATCCCAAATCGGCTCGTGAAGAGCGTGTCCGTGGGATTGCAGATAATGAGTGCCCGTTGGAAAACATGTTTGCTGCCTGATTATTGTGCACTATGACGAGAAAGGGTCGTCCGCGAAGCTGATGGAAATAAGTTGGTTAGAGGAAAGTTCAAAGGCACTTCTCGTCTAGTGGGTCGATGTTCTTACAATGTGTTGCCGAGACCATCATCACACACTAGACGTCCCTGAACGGGACTGCACTGAGCACCATCAAGTACGACTCTGCCTCCGCTATTATCCTTGGCCGGAACACTTTTGGCCGGTGCAGCAATGGCAGATGCCATGAAGCTGCTGAGAGCAACGATGATAAGGGAGAACTTCATCTTGAAGGTGGTGCTTGGAGAGCTGCAAGAATTACCAAGTTGAATGAGTTGTGATGTAAGGTACTGGTATGCTTAGATCTGGCCAGCCAGGAGCGATGAAATGTTTTTGTTTGTGAAATGAAAAGCCCGCTTGCAGGAAGTGACGACACAATATTCCAAAGATGAAAGGCCCCTCGCGCTTTTAATGTGACTTTGGGCAATTCAAGCTTAAAAGGAGCGATCAATTCTTTTGGTCGAGATGAGACGATGTCAGGGTACAGTTGAGACGAACACCCCGGTCATATCCCACTCGGCTGTCAATACGAGCACATCGCGAGTATCAAACCTCTCCCCCTGTGTTCCACAGTCAACCGACAACATTGTCTCACGTTACCCCACACGCCTCAGGAGTAATGTTTCGGCCTTCAATTTTCCTACTTGAGAAAGTGAAGCACCAACTTTTTGTATCCCTCTATGCTTTCAATCAACTCCGGCACACGGATGAACTCGTCGGGCCCGTGAGCTACCAGGATAGACCCTGGACCGTACAGCACCCTGTTGTCGCAGTACTCCGCCTTGAGTCGAGGTACGTCAGTCCCGAAAGCCACGGGAGCCGCATCAAAGCCGTCAATCTCCCACTGCAGTAGCGCTTCGGGGTACTCAAAAACAAACTTCAACTCCACGTCTGGGTTTCGTGAAACGATCTCGGCAACCTTGGTCTTGATGCCGGGCAGGTCGGAAACCATGCGAACCTCGCATAGTGCCTTGGCTGACGGGGCGACGATGTTATGTTTCTCGCCTCCCTCGATAGTTCCGATGTTGAAGGTGGAAGGACCGAGCAGGTCGGATTCGGGCCAAGCTGCTGCGGAGAGGTCATTCAACACTGCCAGCAATGCAGAAGTTGCGCTTTTGCCGAGATGGGGGTATCCTGAGTGACTACATCTTGGCTTTAGTAGTGCTTTTGGATGAATACGATCTCTTCGCGGTTGAGAAGGGTTGACTTACCAAGCGACGCCGTTGGCGATCACTTCAAATGCCACCTGCCCCTTGTGACCTTTTGCAAGTTTGCTCTCAGTCGGTTCAGCAAAGATGCCAGATTCCCACTTTAAGCCCATGTCATTCGCAGCGATCATTCCGTGACCGCCGTTTTCTTCACCGACAACAAACAACAAGGCAATATCTCCTTCCTCCTGTATCTTGGCTTCCTTTCTCAGTTCTTCTGCAGCTAAGATCTCGGCTGCCAACGGGCCAAGGTCGTCGGACGAGCCTCTTCCCCGGATGATATCCCCGTCGATCGTTAGCGGAATATGCGGTGGTACAGTGTCCATATGGGCTGTGAGAAGTACCCGTGTCTTGCGTGAAGAGCCAAGGTATGCGTAGACATTATGGCGAGACGATGCTGGTGAAATGGGTATTCGCTCGACGGTGTATCCAAGCGAATGAAGATGATGTTCTAGGAAGACACCAATGCTTTCCTCAAGTTCGCTGGTGCTCACGATTGACATGAGCGACTTCAACAAGCCCACCACGGGGTGATCCATGATAGCAGATGCCATAGCTTTCAATTGGCTTGGAGTCTGCGCTTTAGAACTACTTCTGACATGTAAATGAGAGGAGCAAAATGCTGCGATGAATGTGGTTGGGGCGGACCCCTCTCCGTCAACACCGGTACGGAGTTCATAGTTAGTTAAGAGAGACTTCCCCAACCGTGCATTAACACCCCAAATTGTGAGTCACAACCAACCAACAGTCGAATGTGGATCTATCGGCGGGAACCACTTTGTCGGGCTTTGGTCAGTTCGGGCCAACATCCGCCTTGCTCGGGATAATTTCCGCGTTGGTTTCTTGGTGCCAGATATAGATGCTGTAGCCATTTCAGTCAACCGGACTTAGAAAATCAATGCCAATGACTTTTTCCAAATACTGGGTTCTACTTCGGTGGTGCTAGAGTAATTACGTGCAACTAACAAGAGGTTTACCACCTCAGCCAGCCCAAGCTGCAACCGGCTGACTGCAAGCCTCCCTAAAGAGTTCTCGTCATAACGTCGATAGAGGAAAGCATTCCCCAAATGCTTCTGATTTTGTCCACTGCCCGACCTGAAGTCGACGAGTTTTTTACCAATGTCGTGAAGGGCCTGGCTTCATCAGTCGTCTATGGAGTGTCTACACCGAGTTTGGCAGAATCTGCTCTCTCCAACTGTTGCAACATAGGTACTGAGAAACAGCAAGTATGCGGAACATGGCAAACGTCAAGCTAGCTTGGATCTACTTTGGGACTTGGTCATTTATTGGATGCCATTTGGACAAAGCTTTACCGATGCTCTAGGCATAACGCCAATGATCATGGCACACCCTACCTACACGATAATGGACGGAAATCCTACTTGCACTGCACTAAAACCCGTGGCGCACTGGTCGCCCATCACTTTCCTATACCTTGTAGCTCCAGCTGGGCAGCTCAGGCCAGGGAGTAGAGCTGATTTGCACGTTGGGATCTCCCGAGGTGGGTGGATTCCTTCTCAATCCTCCGCTTGGTGAAGATCCCCAATCAACGACGGGTAAATCTCACCGGGCTGTGCTGATGTCAGATTAAATGTCTCCGCCGGGTTAGCGTGGCATTAAGTATCTCTGATAGCTTGCAAAGGTAGGCGATATTTCAACCTGATAAGAGGATGTGCCCTTCCTACCTGCACTCTGTAAATTGGAAGCATTTGGGGAACACAATTGGAGACATTTCCGCTTTTCCTCCTCAGCATCACGAAAGACCTTTCTCTCCTCCACATGGCGAACGACGACTCGAAGCCCGTGGGTGGCCACGTCGGCGTTGTCGGCACCGGGGCATTGGGACTTCTCGCAATAAAGAACCTCAAGGAGCAAGACCTAGAAGTAACCGCGTTTGAGCAAAATGATCACCTCGGTGGGCTATGGCACTTCTCACCCAGACCAGATCAAGTCACCGCACTTCCAATGACATCTTTCAACACCTCAAAACAGATGGTGAGCAAGGCTTGACTTTTCTGCATTAGCGACGTCAGATACTCATGCAAATATTAGGCGCACATCACAGACTTCCCCTTCACGGATGGTAAAATACTTCACCTACACCGCATGGGTATGATCGTTGCTAACGTTGCCATGTGGCCTTAGATGATGCAACACACCCCACTGCGAAAAGTATTGAACGATACCTCGAAGCTTACGCAAAGGAATTTGACCTTCTGCCTCATATCAAGTTCTCCACCAAAGTCAGCAAGGTAGAGCGAGATGATGTCAACGGGAAATGGGTCATACATACGCATAACACACTCCCAGGCATGGAGACTGGCCTTCAGAAGCATGTGTTCGATCGAGTTGTGCTGGCCACTGGAATCGTCAACACTCCAATGATGCCAGATATCAAAGGCATTGAAAAGTTCGAGGGAGAGGCCAAGCACTCTATTGAATTCAAGGACCCATACAGATACTCGGGCAAAAATGTTTTGCTTATCGGGATTGGAGCTACAAGTGCTGACACGCAGTCGTTCCTCAAGAAGGCAAACGCTCGCTCGATCACAATCAGTCATCGTCAGCAGTTCTATCTGGTAAGTTGCCGGACTCTCGGATGTGATTCTAGCTTGTGAGGGTATGGTTCTGAATGCGATCACAGGTCCCAAAAATGGTCCGGGGTAACGCTTTTGACCACAGCATGACGCGCCGCGCCCTCACAATCTTCCGAAGTCTAGGTGATTGGTGGCCTAGAGCTTGCGCCATGTTCTTCACAAACGCTTTGGATAGCGCCCGAAGGAAAGCATATCCCTGGCTCAGCAAACATCCGTCGTTTGTGGCTCCCCGGGTTCTCGCAAGCGCAGAGCATCGGATTCCGGTTCTATCAAATGACCTCGCTGAGAACTTGAGGGACGGTATCACTCGTACTGTTCCTGGGGTGAAGGCAGTTACTGGGCCCAAGTCGGTCACTTTCACAGATGGTACAGTTCTAGACGATATTGATGCCATCATCATCTGCACGGGATATGAGTACGATTTCTCGGTCATCAAAGGCCCGGGTGACCCTACCGACCCTGCAAAAGCTCCCGATCATTTTGAGCGCATCAACGCAACTCGATTCAAGGACCCTCATGTCCAATTCGCTCGCTTGTATCGAGGGTTTCTGTCAGAGGAGTATCCTGAATCACTTGCGTTCATCGGCCACTTCTTCATCCTGAAGGCGCCATTTGTGTTCAATGACCTCGTCACGATGGCGCTCGCCAGCCTTTGGAGCGGAGAAATCCCTCTTCCCTCCCCCGACTCGATGACAAAAGACATCAACAGACACTACGACACCGTTGTGGATACCCTTGGACGCGGGCCGCTACCCCACCTGGGGTTTAGGATGTTCGGCAGCGACACCTACACATGGTTGAACAAGGTTGCAGGAACCGGGGTAACGGAGAGGGTTGGCTGTTTCAGTATGGAGGCCTGGAAGCTTTGGTGGAGCGACCGAAAGTTCTACAACTTGCTCATGGACGGTGCCGATTCACCGGCGGTCTACCGGCTTTTCGAGACGGGGCGGGGCCGGAAGGCTTGGCCGGGGGCCCGCGATCAAATTCTGAAGGCGAACAGGGAGGTGAAGGAAATGGGCGAGGAGTGGAGGAGGAACAACAACGCAAAGTCAAAGTGAAATTGCGCCCCTTTGTGTACCAAGTATTTGACAGCGAATCATCTTGTGTCATCGAAGTAGGTACTGTCGTTTATAGGCAGCGGTAATCAGTCTGAATTGAGGTATACTATTCTCTAGGCCCCAACGCCTGTACTCAACTGTTAATGAAAAGTCATGCATGTCTACTGGAATAGGTAATAGGAATCCACTACTTCGAGTGTTCCTATACTTTCACGTGAGGGGCGATAGTGGTGGTCATCAGACGATCGGCTATTCGTGAGCCATTTCAACAAGCATTGATTACTCCACTTTCTCCGCGGCACGACATTGGGGAGAGCAATGTCGCCATCACCGCAGCGAAACCGGAACAGCCAGCGGTATTGATATCTGCTGTCTAGGCACAAGGTACGAGGTTCAATTTCACCAGAGCTAACGAACTAACTCAGCGTTGACCAGCCGATTGAGCAGCATCTTCAGATAGGGCAGAGTTTCTGTGCTTTCAGCCGTCGCAGAAGACATCTGGCACACCTTGTATACCACTATGGCCACCGTCACTTTGACCCGTCCAGTGCAGCCGGACATCCAGTATGCTCCAGACTATCAGAAGTTTCAGGCTCGGACTGCGCGCCGAGTTCAGGAGCCTGGTCTTCCCAAAAGCCTCCCTGAGGGCCTTCCGCAGAAGTTCACGAGCGATATGGTCTGGGAGGGAGCAACACTAGCCAACGAGTATGATTGGACATATGCCCTCACAACAGAACAGCTTGACGAACTTGACGCAGCCCTCTCTCACTTCAGAGGTATGATGGATTACCTCAAATGCAACCCGCAAGATAGCAACCTAGAGCTGATCTATCCACGAAGCGCTGAATTTGCCGCTCGGCCACATCAATCAGGAAAACTTTCCCCTGCCCAAGCTTCATCCCGAGCTTCGAAAGCTCTCATATGAGTTGCACAATGGGCACGGATTCTTCGTTATCCGCGGCCTTCGTGTGGATGAGCACACAAGAGAAGATAACATCATCATTTACGCAGGCTTGTCTTCACATATCGCACCTCAACGGGGTCGCCAGGACAGGCAATACGACGGGAAGCCAGCTGATGTAGTTCTCACTCATATCAAAGACTTGACTTTGACGAAGGACAAGGGCCAGATTGGCAGTCCTGCCTACACTGCGGACAAGCAAGTATTTCATACGGATGCCGGAGACATTGTCTCTCTGTTTGCTCTCTCCACTGCTGCGGAGGGCGGCACCAGCAAATTGGCAAGCATCGCGAGGGTTTACAATGAGATCGCTAGTACGCGTCCTGATCTCATCCACACCCTCACGCAAGACTGGCAGTTTGAGGTGTAAGTAGCTGCATGCTAACGAGAATGGATTGATGTAACGAGATGAGTATCGGCTAACGATGTGTATCATTGCTAGTTTCGGCAAGCCCGAGAAGTCTTTCACTTCCCGACCTCTGGTGCACTACCAACCTGCGACTTCAAAGACGCCTGAGCGCTTAGCTGTACAATACGCTCGTCGATACTTTGTCGGTTACGGTGCGCTTCCCCGAAGTGACGAGATCCCACCGATCTCCGAGGCACAAGCGGAAGCACTTGATACTCTTCATTATCTTGGTGAAAAGTTTGCCGTCAACCTGGATTTCCAAAAAGGCGACATTCAGTACGCCAATAACATGGGTATCTTCCATGCTCGTGATGGCTTCACCGATACTCAAGAGCAACAGTAAGTTCATGCCTCCACTATTTACTGGTGGATTCAAGAAGGGTATCGTGTTGACTGGTTGATTGTCAACTGCCATAGGCGTCATCTGCTACGACAGTGGTTGCGCGATCCAGAGTATGGCTGGGAGACGCCAGAGCCATTGAAAGAAAGATGGGCTCAATTGTACGATGGCATTACTCCAGAAGCTCAGATATTCCCTCTAGAGCCATTCATCCGTAGCGAAGGAAACAAGAGTAAGGGAAGGTCATAAATCAGTTATCCGTAGCTCAGTCTAGGCTGTCAAGAATGTATGCCGCTTTGGCTTCTGGAAGTCGCATCTGGGCAACGCGCCCATGAACTCAACGCTTCCAAATCGGCCCAACCAATGAATTGCTATTTCTCTAGAGGTGCATCCTAATTTTATGAAACTGGGATCCCGGAAAAATATGGTCGGCCCGGTGTTGGCTGTGGCTTGGGCAAAGGACGTGCCAAGAGGCTGACGTTCGTACTCAGATAGATTCACTGGACAGTAAGAATTGGTTCCCGGAACAGCGAGAGGCCTATTCACGAGCAAAAAAGCAGAGGTACATTTTGAATCATACCTAGTTGGCTTTCTTCCTCATAGCTATACCCCCTGCAATCCATCCCAGATGTGATGAGGACTGCAGCATTGTTCGCGATAGCCAGTCAGCATTGTGTGCTGCTTACTGACATAGGAGGGCTATCGTAACACTTTGTGAACAGCAATAAAGCACAAGCCATGAGAAAGGCAGGCCTGGGTCTCCGGGATATTTGATGCTATTCCTGAGAGCATCGCATACCTTTGAAACTAGTACTGCAACCGAAGGAGGAAGAATTCAAGTAATAAACCGCATAACAATAAACCAAGGATAACAGCCTGGAAGCCCCAGGTTTTGGTTGGATTTTCTTCTTCCCCGCAAATGCTGCTACTATTGTTTCTTTGATAGAGTTGACATAAAGCCTTGGAGGCGATTGGCAGCCCGACTTAAAGGCCTGAGACTCGGGACACTCCATTGAACGGGATGGAGATCTTGCGCATACGCTTGCAAAGGGAGGCAACGGGTCGAAGGCCGCTTACCAGAAGGCAGTAGAAACACCAGTTTAAAAGCAGTCGCCATCAGGTTATCACATAGAGTGCACTTACGGTGATATTTCTTAAAGTCAAGCAGATGATTGGCACCAGAATGTCTTCGACTCGTCCGCTTCACATGCTGCATCAGATTCAATGACTCACTGTAACATGAACTGACGACTTAGCATAGCTGCATCGGTTCTGAACGGCACCGGTTATGTCAGCCTTGCCTTTATCTGCTGAACAATCGGAATATTGATGGCTCTGGCAGGGCTAAGCATGTACGTGGAGCTTGCAAGCTACGTCCCTAATCGCAGCGGCTTAGAGGTCTTGTTTTTCGAACAAGCTTATGCTCGACCGAAAGATTTCTTCCCCATGTCATTTGCCGTACAATCAGTCTTGCTCTCCTTCAGCTATGTCAACGCTATCGGTGAGCTTGCCGGGTTGTTAGCCGCCCAACTTTCTAGAGTTAGGTTGGCAGGGAGAGCAAGGTAAACGGGATGGGATTGCCGTCGCTGATGAGGGCCAACATCAATACCAACATTAGAAGAGGTTCAATTTGCAGGGGCTTCAAGCGAGCCTCGGCTAAACAAAAGAGCCTTTTATGAGCAGCGTTGGCTATTTGATTTCAACAGTCATGTATGAGTCACCAACATGCCAAGAATTTCCAAACTTCCAACCTCAACGAAATCTGCCTGAACGAGGTGGAAATTATCACGCCACTTTTGTGGTCACAGCAACGACAACGACAACGACAACCATCTGGACGGTGGTGATAGCACCCAAAACACCGCTCCAGTATCAAGATTCATATCAAGAACAAGTCCTTTTTTTCAATCTGCTCAATTCCCAATTCACTTGTGGCGAAAATACAAACCATCTCAATGGCTTCCCTCACAGATCTACCAGTCGAGATTCTCGACCAGATTTGCAGCTCACTCTGCTGTCATTGTCGACAGCACAAAATGCAGCTCGACAAGCCGAGCGCCGCCGTCAGCTCGACAGAAGACGACGGAGAACGGCTTGGACTACGCAATCTATGCCTCACATCACGGTCACTACGCCAAATTGCTCAGCCAATTCTTTTTCACGTTTTCTTACACCACTGCACCATGAGCACCATGAACTGGACAAGCGAAGAAACAAACTTGATACCTCGGTTGTTCCAGTTACTGAGAACGATCAATGAAGACGCCCATCTTTCTTCTTGCCTCAAGTCCATCGATATTAATGCATTTGAAGAGAAATGCATTATCTGTTCACCTTCGTTAGAATGTGCAACTCAGGAAGAAATCAGTCAAGTTACGCGATTGTCGAAAAAGACAGGTCTAGATATCAATCCCGCCGGCTTGGACCACGATCTTCTCCCTGAGATTCTAATCCAATTCTTATTGATTATGACGCCGAATCTCCAGAACGTCAGCTTGTGCGTACCACGTTGGTGGGTCTTTTACCCGTTGAGAAAATGGATCAATAAATGGAGGCCCAAACTAAATGAGTCAAAAATACTGCTGGGCCAGGTACGACACATGGAGCTGGAGACTGAGAGATATAGCGACGACACGTGTCTTGAGGACGACCATAAAGATGAGGGTCTTTGTCACCCGATTCCTGATCCCATTGAACGACTACTCATAGACAGTGCACCGAATCTCGAGGTGTTGTCATGTTCTGCTGGAGGGCTGGAGGGTCTTCCGAAGTTGCCATTGCTCAGGTGGCTGCACCTCCGCATGGAAGGGTCTTGGAAGGGAATGTTGCCTATATTAATGGATCGCCTACCGTCCCTGACACATTTCAGCTACTCGACCAGCAACTTGCACTCTCCCACGCCCAGAGAGATCCAAGACGCCCTCCATAATCACCAGGAGACTCTTCAACATCTCACTGTGATCAATCGGTTTGGGGAGAGCATTGCAAGTGATGATTTGCGAACGGATCCAAGCCGGCCATACTCAATGACCTCTCTGGCCGGTTTCAAGGCTCTCAAATCCATTAACCTTGATGGCTATATGATCTGGCCGCATCGGAGGGACGGAGGCACGATACAAGAAATGGAGGCGGACTTGCAGCTTCTACCGAACTTTTTGCCTCAATGCTTACGGCAGCTTCATATTGATGGCTGGGGTAACTATGGAGAGGAGAACCTAAGGTCTTTAGCTAAGGCTATGGCAAATGTGGAATTTCCCTACCTGGAAACGGTGATCTGGGGCATCGTTCATGATCGCCGGCTCCTTCGGCGTGGGTCTTGCAACAAAGCGTGGGAGATGGGCATGGATTGGAGGGAAATAATTACAGAGAAAGTTGAAGACCGCATACGCAATTGTCATCAGGAAGCATTTCCAAACTGGGGAGACGATTTGTTGGGGTCTGCTGCGAATGAGGCTGGCTGATGATCAATTGCTCGCTTCAACTACCTACTCATATAGCATCGAAGCTTTGCGTCGTAGTATAGGGCTGTAAATGTCCGAACCGCTGACACCACCATGTACTTACTCAGTATCTTGACCGGCCGTGGGCCAGTTACCTTCCTGATGAGAATAATATGACAAGATGATGAAGCATAATTATCAAATTCAATTTAGTCTTGAACGGGCTTGAGGCATTTATGATGACATATTCTACACAAACGCTGTGGACAAGTACGTGCAGTGAAGAGGGATAGAGGAGCTGCGACCTTTCTACCACGAATTTGCTAGAAGGGAAAATTGATTGTTCAACCACATTGGAACACATCTCGACATTGACAATGATCTTACTCTTCCCACACGCTTTAGGATGATTTGTGCAGTGAAATTGTCTACTGAAAGTCAAAAGCCGACGTTGCAATTGCACTAAAGTTCTGTTTGTTTGATATGATCACTAATACAGTAGTATACTAAGGTACACGGTAGTAACTCAAACATTGGAATACCAGAGCACAAGCAGAGTCTTCCCACATTTCGTAACATTGATACTTCAGCTTTGAAAGTTACCATATGTCAGGAATGCCTGATCTATACATCCAGCTTTACCATGACGCCAATGCTTTTTCCAAAACTTTGGTACTTTTGCAGCGCCGCCTGTGCCTCCGGCTTGGTCCAAGCAGCCTTTGCTTCCTGGCGCAGGTGTTAGCAGTGAATACAAGTAACCTAAGACCGTAGCAATCAGATGGAAGGCTTACCTCATCACTGTCCCATCCCAAGATACCCAAGCCAGTTGACTGACCTCCATCGACACTCTTTCCTCCAAAGTGGACGGTCTGGCCGAGGGCAGCAACTAGGTCCATCCAGGCCTGCTTCGCTTCCTCATGCTTACTCTCGTCTGCAACATCAATGAAGCAGAACTGAGTAAATGTCTTAGGCTTTTCACCGGGAAGCGGACCAGTCTCGAACTTTTTGACTCGAGGCTCGCCGCCGGGACCAGCCTTGAACTGCTCTTCACGCTCTTTGATCCACGCCGAATCGGCAAACGCCTTGTCATCTGCCGCGGACTCGAAAGCTACGAGGAGATTTAGGTACTGCCAAACAACTTGACTTCAGAGGAGGATCTCACTTATCGTTTGCAGGAATTTGAAGTCTGTCACAGGTGTTCCGTTTTCGTTGATGACATGTCCACCAGCTACTCCAATAACGCCTGGCTGCTTCGCAATATCTTCCTTGACCTGCGGCCATGCTCCGAGGACCTCATCCTTCTTGTCGGCAGGAATGTTGGGGGTGACGACAACGAGGAAAGGCATTTTGGCTGTTTTTATGTTCGGGGCTAGTAGAGACGATGGAATTGTTTTCGTGGTGTGTTTTGGCGCTAACCGGTCTACGGTGATCTGGTTGTCTTTCGTTTCGATGAAATATTGATTCTGTGCTGGCTTGAAGTCGGTTGGTGGATGCGGTCAACACGAGGTTTTTATGACTTTCGAGGGAGGTTCATTCATGTATCAAAGACCTTGCTGGATCAAGACAGTGGTCAGTCAACCATCGACCCCGACACAGACCGCACCCTGCACCCGGAAATCCCGGCGGTGCGGCATGACAGCAGCCAGGCGCCGTCAGACGAGTTGCGTCTTAGAAGCCGCCCCCCCCCCCCCCCCCCCCCCCCCCCCCCCCACCCCCCCCCCCCCCCCCCCCCCCCCCCCCCCCCCCCCCCCCCCCGGAAACCCCGGGGGGGGGCCACAACCGCCCCCCGGCCCCCACACCCGGTTTTGGTTATAAACCCCCCCCCCCCCCCCCCCCCCACCCCCGGCAAAAACTGAGAGCCACCAGTACGTCGCCGACCGACCCCAGATCAGCTAACCTCGAACCCCCTCTCGTCGCGGATAATACCACCGGCAACTAGGGACGGCTCTCAGGGTCCAACAGCTGATTGGCGGTGCCCACTAGGTATGTTGCATGGTAAACAAACCGCGTGTATGCCGTATCGTGGATGCTTCAACCCAGGAAGTGAAACCCAGGCGGAGCCGGGAACCGGGGGTCAGGCCAGTGTGGGGTACAGTCGCTGCCACGGCGGTGGAGGACGGGCCGGCGGGTTTTGACGAGACGGTCTCGGTTTTTCGTCTGATCCGTGATTTATGCCCCCTCCACCAAGCCGAAAGTCTAATTCACTCGGCAACGTGCTTGGAGGACTGCATGAATCCAAGCCGTCAGCCCGGCGGACAAAAGGTTGACTAGGCCAGGTCTAAGAAAAAGGGGTCCTTATGCAAATAACGGCTGTCGAATCACCGCAGGCGAGGTTCGTTTGCTGCGCGAGGCAGTGCCAGAACCCGAAGGTCTTTCAAGGAGCGAGAATCCCTAGTCGAGTGCTTGACTGTACTAATTCAAGCTGAGTGTTCATCTCGTATTGCTATGTATTACGAAGCTGGAAACACTTTGGCAGAATGCGGGGACAAGCACATTGAGGCATGGAGATGCGACTGAGTCTGATACATGAGGAAACGTTCCAGAACAGGCACAAACCTTCGGGGATATATCAATATTCCGGGGAATTAGCAAAGCAACCCGTGCTCATATCCAGTCTCTCCAATACTTGCAATGTTACTGAGGAAGGTTGAATCTCTCAGGCTGGCCTGAAATAAGTAGATGCGAGTACAATTGAATGGGTGAAGTCATGGCTTCGAGCTTTTGCATCAAAGATCAGCAAGGACTTGGACATGGTCCACGAGCTGAATACAAGTACTAATCGCATGATTGTGGTAAAGAGTTTGAACTATTTTCATCCCTCCAATGCATGTGTTTTCTCCTTCGGCACTAAATCTACGTGATGGGCAATGACCGAGGCCTGGTTTACAATATGGACTTGGTTGTTCGGAGTTTCGGGCAAAATGAGGTTACCGAATCAACAAGTGAACGTGTGAAGCAGCCTTGCTCCCCTTTGATATTGAGAAACATCTGCAAGCAACATTGAAATCTCGGGAATAATGCATATGCACTGCTTCGAATACATGGCTCGATCGGTTGAGTTCAAGTGGCGGTGTGAGATCGTTCAATGACTCGCTCCTGGCCACCACAAAGACAGGCCGATGCGCTACACAGTTCTGCCATAAGTCTTCCACTTAGAGAAGCCGTGCTCGAAGATAGGATTTTAAATTATTATCGGCTGCGGGGGCGAGCTCTAGCCAAGGGCTCTGGTACTGTCACATATCAGCAGAAGAGTAAGTGCCTCTTTCGTTCATCCCGAAATTCGGTCGAGATCGTCTGTTTGTGTGTGTGTGTGTGTGTGTGTGTGTAAGTGAAAGGAAGAGAGAGAGAGGGAGAGAGAGATGGAGAGAGAGAGATGTTGTTGTTGAAGACATACGACTCTTTGCTCTTTGGATGAGAAACTACATACGACGTATTGAACTAATCTTTTCCTTGATTCCCATTTTCATGAAACGTCGAAAGCTATGCACATTACTACCTACAGGATATCCATGCCTGACCTTACACAGATCGCACAAATCTTGCCGACAGTCAAAACGAGGACATTTCACACTGCAGGTGGGAGCTTGGCATCTGAGAGCAGCCAAATGTTCAATCTGTTTCTTCTCTGTGGCCAGACTGATCCAGGGTAGCTTGCAAATATGCGTCTCGATACTTGATGGTTTAAACGTATATGCCATGACAGTTGAGAAAGCCCCAACTGTTTGCGTTGAGCACAAAACAATTACACTTCCACCCCACCATTGTCGAAATCCTCAGGACCACCAACCCAATATTCCTGACAACGATTTCCCCCCCCCCGCTAAATGAAAGTATGCGAGGCGATGGGTATTTCTCAAGCGAACACGATAACAGCCGCCGCGACACCGAGAACTGCCGCCATCCCCGCCCGAACGGTCGACCCCGCCCCCCCCGGAACCGTACTCGACGAAGGCTCCGCTCCGCTTCCCGTCCCAGTCGGCACAGCCTCACCCTCCGTCGACGTGATCAAGGTACTACCGGCGACGCCCGTCCTAGTCGTGACCACCGATGGCGTCAGCGACGACAATGGCGACGTCACCGACGTAGTAACGGTTTTGATAATGGTGCTCGTCGTGGTAGGGGGCGTGACCGTCACCGTCGTGCTGCCTACTCTGCTATTCGACCCGGGGGTCGCAAGGGTCTGGGTGACCGTGATTGTGGGCGGTTTGACGGTTGCGCAGCTGGAGAAGAAGCTCTTGGTGATGGTCTCGGTACCGGAGTAGCCCGGGCAGCCCGGGATTTTCTTGCCGGACGCCGGGTCCGTACCTCCGCAGTCGAGCGGGGTGCAGATTTCGTGGGTTTCGAGGACGTAGTGGATGACTGTCTTGATGGAGTCGCCAGAGGGTCCTGGGTAGGTGTATGTGAGAGAGGTGCAGCCCGTGAGGTCCGTCTTGGCTAGGACCGCTGTAGCTGCCAGAACTGGGAGGAGGTAGCGAGACATCCTTTTTGGAGTTGAATGACGATTTGCGAGTGAACGTTGGTGAACGAGTGTGATGGTCAATAACTGCTGATAGACACCTAAGATCTCGAGGATGAGAGAGGCATGGATCGCCAAGTCATATCTGGGTGGCATAACGGGTCTTTTTGAATACATGATGGTGTTGTAGGATCGGGAAGTCGCATTTTTCCCATGCGTCTTGGATGTTTGGCGAGCAGGCAAGCTTTCTGGAACCTCGTCACCTCGAACTCGTCTAGCCCCTGGGTACGACCTCAAGAGGCTGCGTCGTGCCGCATAGGCGTGTCGACTCCTTGCATTACCGGCGTTCTTTTGTCATCTGACACGAGGAAGGACAGGGACAGGAGAGAACACAGCGGTTCTGAACAATCCCGTGGTTCATGTCAGGCATACTACGAGAACAAAGAAGGTTTATTTTCGGGAACATGCACTCGAAAACAAGCGACTGACGAATCCCTTGCCGCGCTCACATGCTTGGCAATTAACAACTGAGATGCAAGGAGCAGGAATTCAATTTGTCTGTCAGGCACCGGAAGATCAAGGAAGACTGTCTTGCTAATGCCCTAGTATCGGCCTGAGAATCCAACGGCGCCATATCATCGCCGAGAGAATTGGTGCCTAAACCACGGAAAGTGGTGGAGAAGAAAATATTAGTTTTGCTATCTATCTTCGAGTTCACTGTCATAGAATCGGTCAAGCTTGTCCGGAAGATCGAACAAAGGAAATTTGAATAAGTTTGTGCACAGGTCAAAGTCTTTAAGACGATTGCTCAGGGACGGCCATGCCACCATCCTCGTATGCGGGCCCCTGCTTGCAATACCAAAAGCACTGCAGTTTGCCGTTGTTTCCATCAAACACTGCTGCATTGTTCTCCCTCCTGTACGACACGACCTCGACCTAGCAATCGAGTCACACGAAATAGCTCTGTTTTTGTCGTTGGGAGAGGGGCTGTTGCCGGTGCGTACTCTTCTGAGTCATCTCTCCATCGAATGGCCCACGTGCTTGTCTGGCGACAGCTTCAAGTTAACATGACATCGAAACTCAAAGAAACCAAGAGCACAGTGTTCTGTATGTACAGCAATGGTGTATTGACAGGTAGCGATTGGCGCATTAGTTGGTAAGTCTAGGTTATTACAATTTATCATACAGAAGTCGTCGTGTCGGCCGTTAAAAGAAAAGGAATGCATAGCCGGAAAGTCTTTCGCGACGACTTTGTCACTTCAAGATTCCAGCGAATGTTGATCCCCTCCAGCGGAGAGACAGAAGTCGGAAACAACACTTTTGCGAGAGGATCGAACTCAATCTCTTTACTGCGCCTTCTTGGCCTTGTCCAACTTTTTCTCCCGTCTTCGCTGGTGGGCTTCTGCGCCGGCTTCGGTATCCATGAGGTAGTCCCACCACCGGAAGCTAGACGCGTAGTTGCCAATGAATTTCTCATGGTGCACGTCGTGGTGCTCGGCGCCGGCCCAGAAGGGGAGGAAGTGCCTCAGAGACCAGGGGAAATCGTAACCGGAATGCGAGTCGATGGCTTGGAACAGGCGGAGGACAATCCACATGTACATGGTAAAGAGGTGCAGGTCCTTTGTGATGAGTACCCATAGAACGGGGGACCCAACGGTGCCGAGACCAAGGAACATGACCTCAATCGGGGAGGCGTACTCGGCCGTCATGCCAAAGGGGGCCGAGTAGTAGTGGTGCATCTTGTGGACGGCCTTATACAGGGGAGGCCAGTGGGCACCGCGGTGCATCCAGTAGTGCCAAGTGTCCTCGAGGACGAAGAAGATTGCGATCTGGTAGGCCATCTTCCACCAGGCGGGAAAGGGCACGCCGTAGTCGAGACCGCACCAGGTGGCGATGGGGTGGAAGAGCCAAATTTGCGGAAGCTCGACGGTGAAGTGACTGAAGAGAACTAGGGCGCCGCATTCAAATTGCTCTCTCCAAGTTGGGATTTTTTGCTGCTCAAGGTTAGTGGCTGGTACGGGTGGTAGTCGTTCATGTCTGGGATCCTGCCGAATGCATTAGACATGGCGGATGTGGAGTGACGTGCCTGTTGAATCTTCCACCTGCGGAAGTAGGGAATGGCGTCGATAATGATCCATGGAAGACTGCGACCAAAGTAGACGACCTCGTGCATGACAAAGGTCATGATGCCAGTGGCGAGGATGTCGTTCTGCATCCACAGGTACCACGCCGCCCACAGGCGCTCAATGGCGTTGAGCTGGACGTTGTACTTGTTCACATCGTCGAGTACGCCGAGGTAGGTTGTGGTAGACGTCTGGTTGGGAAACACGACGGTGGAACTCCTATGAGAGCGTTGTGTGTAAGCGGATGGTCAACTTGTGAGGTAGGTGAGAAGTTGCGGTTGGCTTACCAGGACGCCATGGTATCAAACACACCCCAATGCAGGAGAGACGAACTAAAGCAAGGTGATGTGCAACTCTCGAGATGCAACGGCAGCAACCAGACCAAATATGGGAATTTGGCAGAATTGCGAAAGGGGCCAAGTCGAATTAATAAACATCCGCGTTTGGTGGAGACTGCGCGTGTTGGCGTTGAACGGGCTTTGGAAATGGATGGTTCTTCTCGAAGGGCGGCGCAGGGGTCCAGACGCCGATGGGACGATAAAAATTCACCGGCATCCGCTCAGGTGTGGTACGATAACTTGCATGTTTTGCTGTGCCTGTTCCTCTTAGAGACACGGGAGACTTTAAACATGAATCCACAGATCCGAATACGAAATGGATGAGTTGCGCCTCGACCACCGCTGCCATTGACTCATTGTGAAGCTGATGAGATTGGCGAATCTGGTGACAGCTTCTCATCGCCTGCTCTTGGTGAATGGCCCGGAGCCGTGTGTTTCCAGCTGCAGAGAGGCACAGAGGATCCATTCTCCATCCCCGGGCGACCCACTTCCCGGTGGTCTGTTTGTGGTGTGATTTTGTCCACCGCGCTTGAATCCCCGAGATTGCCGGCCTCAGGGGCAGCGTCTGGCACCCACAGCCTGGTTCTGGTCCGTCCTGAGCTTGCAGATGGGCTTCTGAAGCACTGAGACAAGGCGATGAGAACATTTGACGTTGCGATGGACATTGGATGATCTCTCGTTAATGGCCGTTTCTGTAGTAGTTGGGACCGAGCAACATGGCAGATGTGTGATCTGCGTGATGATCTGCCACTACGGAGTGGATGGGCAAGGTAAATATTGCAGCTCTGTCCATCGGGTTGATGAACTTCAAGGCGTCTTCTGAGTGCGGACAAGTTAGGCCTGGCAAGGAAGTTTACCGCCGTCCGTGTGGTGTGATTGTGCATCCGGGTCGGACGCAAGATGCCCGGCATACTATGCACATCTTCGGCGCGCTGATGGGTCCGCCCGCCGTCGATTGTTCGGTTTTCAGCTCGCCGTTCTGCCCCATGTGGCCACAGACACGCGGCAGTCACTCGATTCGCGATGGACCAGTGCCGAATTTGTTTGCAACGGCCAAAGGTGGGCACTCGCCGGGTCTGTTGGTGTCTTGATCGGAGCAGCTCGACAGGTGAGGGACGCAACATGCGGTGTGGAGATGATGGCCCATCCCGGCCTTGGAGGTGTCCGGATACGGATGCCAATGTTGACCCTGGCTAGCGATAATGGTGCATGTTGGAACTTGGATAAACATGGGTGCGTAAATTGGTTTCCATGTTCAAGTCTCGCTGTCGCTGGTTCGTCATCAACTTCATCGAAGACTCCAGGTTGGCCATGGCCATCCTCCCTGCTAGTGACGCCAGCGGGTCTGGGTTTGTCACGTCACCGGACCTAGGGGTTCTGATCGAATGAGAAAAAGAATTGATTGTTGTTATTGATCGCTGTTGGAAGAAAGATTGGCTGGTAGCTGTACCGACTGATGTGTCGGACTACCTTACCCTGCTGTAGAGGCGTTGTTGAGATCTCGCAGAGCAGAGGGAGAGGGCTGAATCTGGGCCACAAAGAGGTTTGAAGGACTCGTAGAATCGAAGATCCTCGTCAAGTCTTTTTTCGAGCCGTATCGAGGTTCCCAAATTCGTGGAGAAGGTGAGGCAGAAGAAGTGGTGTGGTGATGCGTTTTTTGGTGTTGAGTGGACATTCAGAGGTTCAAGTGTGGCTGAGGATGTCGGCGGTTCCGATGCTCCGACTGTGGCTCAGCTAAGGCGGTGCACATCAGCCACTCACCGCCAGCCACGCGACGGCATTCGCGCCCAAAGCTTCTGCAGCTCTCCACCACACGCACCAACACGAAGCGCGCCCGCACACCGCACACCGCATCGCAAGGCAGCGAGCTCTCAGTCCGTCTCGGCAGCAAGGGGAAAAACGAGGCTCAGCAGGTTCTTTGCCCTGGTCTCTGACCCCGTACAGACCCCGTCGAGACCCAACCTCCTCCAGTCATCTCCCCAGTCACATCGAGTCCGCGCCCACCTCGTGACCTCAGAGGCTCTCAGTCAAGATGACCCATCGTCGGCCAGACCAGGGTGTCTTCGTTGTTTATCCAAGTTCTTGTTCTCGTTCTTGATGCTGGTTTGGGCTGCGGGTCGTCACTTGCGAGGCCATCTTGGACGTGGCCCTGATTCACACACACGCATAACAGCAAATGTCGTGAATCCCCTTCAAAGTGTCGTCACGCTGTTCTTTTTCTTGCCTTTCTCCTGGCCGACTCTTGGCAAGTCTTTACCTTCTTTTTGACGCGACCTTTACCCGCTGCCGCTATCGCATTTGAGCTTTCATCCTTCGCATCTTCCTTGGCGCTCCGGCTACTATAGACGAAGACATTGACGAACTTTGAACTAAGAAGGAAACAACGACGACGAACAAATCCATTGTTCAACTCGAAGGGAGGAAACAATGGGATACATTGCAAACACGCCCGAGGAGCGCCTCGAGCGATCAGACTCGAAGAATCCAAAGACAACGTGCAAGGGCCTCACGGGCGCAGGAAACCTATGCCGCAACTCAGTCACGCCCGCGAGGGGCAAGATGCTTTCGCCAACGGCCAAGGAGGAGTCGCTCTACTGCCACCACCACAAAGACCAGGCTGCAAGTCGCTCTGCACAGTCGAGTCCCGGCCCTAGACTGTCCGGCAGACCCATCTTGGAAGAGCGAACGAGCATCGACACTCTCGCGGACCGGCTTGGCCTGGTGGACGTAGGCTCCAACCCAACCAAGAAACAGAAACGGCCTCATGGAGGACGGCTCAGTGGCGGTAGTGGGACACAAACCACGAGCGCCTCGAAGCCGCCCTCGGCATATACACGTCCGCCGCAAAAGGAGCGCAAGGAATTACACCTCTGCTGCTGCTTCAGCATCCCCATCGACGAAGTCCAGGAATCCCAGCCCGCCCCTCGGCCCCAGCCGCGACCGGTGCAGAACGGCGGCTCCGCAGCCATGCCCCGGCCCTCGAGCCAGCTCCTGGCCCCTTCGAATTCGCGCCCGCGACCGAGCACGTCGAGCCACTCCCGGAAGAGCTCCCAGCAGGCATCCCCTCAGCCGCTCTCGACGTCCCAGACAGCGCAGTACCTATCACTCATCCCCCCATCGACCGACCCCCAGACAGCATCGGCGCTCATGGCGGAGTTGGCGAGGCCGTACGGCAGCTCTGAAGAAGCGGGCTACATCTACATGTTTTGGATCACCCCGACTTCCAAAAAGGAGGCGGCCCCTGTGCAGGAAGCGAGATCGCTGCTTGCACCGCCTTCGCCAGCCCGGGGCGTGGGACGCAACCGACGGTCTAGCGACGTGGTATCGGCCTTTGCAAACGCCAACGGCGGCGCATCGGGCGACAATAAGATGCTCATCAAGATTGGACGGGCGCAGAACGTCCAGCGCAGGATGCAACAGTGGACAAAGCAGTGTTCCTACGAGATCGAGGTACTGCGGTACTACCCGTACATACCGGGAGCGAGCGCGGCATCGGGACAGCAACCGCGCATGACGCCGCATGTGCACCGCGTCGAGCGGCTCATCCACATTGAGCTGTCGGGCATGGGACTGCATGCCGGGCCCATAACGTGTGCCGGATGCACTTCGGTGCACCGCGAGTGGTTTGAGGTGCAGACGTCCAAGAAGGGCATCGGCGCGGTGGACGATGTGATTCGGAGATGGGTTGACTGGGACGAGACGACTGTTTGAGTCTGGCGGGTTGACCAGACTTGCACAGGACTACCTTTGGAGTGCCTCAGTGGTGATCAAGTGATCCCTGGATGCTGGGCCTAAGCCCTTTTATTTGCACGCATTGCATGGCGGACGGCGCAAGGGAATCTTTTATCGCATTCGGACCTCGTACAGCATTTAAATCAGTATCACAATAGTATAGCAGACTCCAACCAGACTTCGGGGCAATAACAGAACCCTGCATTTCGGCAGCTGCCCGCGGGCCTCGACCGGTCGGGATTCCGCCGGTTCGGGTCACCAAGGAAAGACTCACGAATAAAAGCGGTACATAGATATTTGACGTTTTTACTGTGTATGTTTTTACGTTTGCTCTGCAGGTTGGTGCAATTTCAAAAGCCGATGGCGCAATTTCAGACCTCGACCCATGGCCTCCACGGTTCCCGGGCGGGTGGCAGCCGTATCCCAACGTCAGCTGAAGACAAGGTTCAATTACGGGGACTATGACTGTAAGATCAAAAGGAACACAAACTGTGCGCATCCCACGCTGCTACAGTTTCCATGTGTCATTGTGGTTCTCTTCTTGGTTGAAAACTCGGGCTCTTTGGCTCTTGATCAAGTTCCCCAAAGTGGTTTACTCTTGTAGACTCTTGATCATTACTGCACCTACGGAGTACGGATACATACAATGAACGGTCTTAAAGTCTCATAGCCAAGATTACAGGCAGCACACACTGGCGGTAGGTTGCTCCAGGTGTCCAGCAAACGTCGAGGACGGCACGGATGTGGCCCGACGGTGCCACCACCTCCCGCCCACCCTGCTCTTTGCATGCAGCATCCTGGGAATGCTGACGAGCTAATGCAGAACCAGAGGGACGGCGGGGGACACCACCGTTGGAGCCTTGGACTCTGCTCTGGAGGCGTGAGCGTCTGGGCGTCCCCCAGTTTCGAGGCCAAACTTTCAGTGCTCTCCACGCCTCAAAGCTCTGACTCGGATCGAGTGAGTAAACATGGACTGGTTGGTTGCTCAGTGTCGATGTTGAAGGTTTATTCGACCATAACTCAATGTGTTGGTCTCACGGAAAACAAACAGACGGGTGACTGTTGATGAGAGTCTCACATCTCAGATCATCAGCCAGACATTCGTCTCACTCGTCATTCCTCGCCCTGCCAAGCTTGGTGTTTCCGCGTGCCGAGCAAGTGTCTCATCTCTTGGCCATCTCTTGACAATCTCTTGGACTTTTTGTTTCCCGCTCAGAGGGCCGCTCGCTGCTTGGCGCTGGCACAAATCCTCCGAGCAAACTCGCACCCACCAACAAGCCCTACTAAGGTAGTTTGTTAATCTGTGAACGGGGGCAGCGTCACTTCATCTGGACTGGAGGGGGGACTGGCGGGGGGGGGCTGACCGGGGACGACGTCACTAGCTCGAGCAAGCTTTTCTGGTGGCGCATCTTCCGATGCTTGTCGTTGCTTGTCCTTTTTGGCATTTTTGCTTGTCTCTTGTCGATCGCTGGTGTCGCCCCCGGGAACTCAATTGGCTCTTCAACGACATTGAGTCTCTCTCGCAAGAACTGCACCGGTGCCCGGCGGCGCCGCGGTTGTAAGAAACGTTCGTTCTACTCGACCCGCTAGAGGGTTTAGATTGGTCTCCAAGTGTCCAATGTCATCTCTTGAACGACATCTCGACGGGGACAGCAACAACAAGTTCGCCTCTTTATGGGTACCCTACTGCAGATACTGGCAAGGTAGGCAACAATAACCTAGCACGGCTAGGTACCTCCAAGGCTCCAACAGTCTTTCCGAGCCGCGAAGCCATCCGCGATCCTGTTCCCCTTTGAGAGAAGCGCCGCCTGTAGCTGGACGTCTTCCCCATATCTTGCAATGACGTGCTCCGCGAGCCTGGGCCGGATTGTGATCCCCTTTTGACACCTCTAGTCCTCGACAACTTTGAGAGGCTCTGAAATCTCTGACCGGGGCGGAACTCGAGTTCCACCCACGCACGGGGGAGACCCTTCTCCTCCCCTTGCTCCCCTCTGCATGCTTTCACATTTCCTGGCTGCATTGGCTGGTTTCTGACTGGAGGATGTCCGCTGGCGGGTATCGTAATCTGTGGCGGACGCTTTCAAGCAACTTTGCCATGGTCGAAATGTGTCGAACGACTAGCCAAAGTGACATGGCAATAAACCTGTTCAGTGGTGCCTCTTGAGGTATCGCCATCATCTTTGACAAGGCGAAATCCCTCTGCTCTCTCACGCTCTCACGCTCTCACGCTCTCACGCTCTCACGCTCTCTAGGGATAACACCATCCGCACACCCCTTCCCAGTTGCTGTTGTCTGCACACACTCGATCTGCCTACTGCAGTCTCCTGCAAGTCGCATGCAACGAGTTCCTCCCATCGCTCCCTCCGGCCCAGTTTACACTCCTGGTTCGCAAGGAACCCGCGTCCGTGGCTCCAGCCCTTCTTCGGCCGTTCCCAACTTCCCATGTCACCTTGCCATGTCGCATCTCTCTTCCCAACTGCCGGGATCATACTGCTGACGCCTGGCTAAGCTGATCTTTTTCCTCTTCACAAGTAGCCCGTAGCTCTTTGCCTCTCCCTCCTTCTCCTCGTACCCTTAAAACTCGCACGTCCCACGTGCTCGCGCATTCTCTCCGTCATCCTGTGCCTGGAGACTGTTCCGAACTCTACCTCCCTCTTGTCCTCATCCCTCCTCCTCTTCTACACCTCCGTCTCTTCTCTTCTTCTCCATCCGCCGAACTGCCACTTGAGCGTCCGTGATCCGTCCCACCGTATCTTCATACCAGTATACCACTGCGCCATTGCCATCGATATCATCACCCACCCGCATTGCGAAACCCCGTCGCCTCTACCCCTCCATCTCCCAGTGTCACCCGGCGCATCGCCGCGACTCAATTGGCGCGCCATGGATAAAGATCTACGCCAACCCGAGCCCACGTCCAACGACAAGGGCTCCTCCGAGCTCGCTTTTGCCCGCGCCGATGCCGAGACAGGAGGCTCCTCCGGCTTCAGCGCCTGGTTCGGCGGCCGCAACACAAAGGTCGGCCCGCGGATTGCGCCTCGCAAGGAGGGTGTCGGAGAGGGCTCCGACAGCGAAGACAGCGCCGATGCTATCTTGACCAAGCAGCTTGCCGAGGAGAATAGCCATGCGATCAAGTACAGGACGTGCAGCTGGCAGAAGACGGCCGGCCTGCTGTTTTCCGAGTACATTTGTCTGGTGAGTTTCCGTCTTGGGGGAGATCTGGCGCATGGCACATCGTGCTGACCGACAAAGGCCATCATGAGTTTCCCGTGGTCATACAGTATTCTTGGCCTGGTGCCCGGCTTGATCCTCACTGCCGTCATCGCGCTCGTTGTGCTCTACACGTAAGTTCCGACTCCCTCGCCCAACTCGCCTCGACATGATACTGACTGCCCGTGTAGATCTTTGGTTCTTTGGCAATTCTGCATGAGACACCCCGAAGTTCGCGACGTCTGCGATATCGGCCAGATGCTCTTCTGGGGAAAGACATGGGCCTGGTACGCTACGGCTGTCATGTTCATTTTGAACAACACTGTATGCCTCTTACTCCCGTCGACAACATGGGTGCATTGCTAACACTACGTACGTAGTTCATCCAAGCTCTACACGTCCTCGTTGGCGCCAAGTACCTCAACACAATGACCGAATCCGACCCCGTCGTCTGCAGAACCGTCGTCTTCTCCATCGTCGTCACCATCATCTGCTGGCTCTGCTCGCTGCCTCGCACCTTTGACGCCCTTTCGAAAGCCGGAACCGCCTCCGCAGCCTTCACCTTCATCTCAGTGCTTCTGGCGACCATCTTTGCTGGCATTCAGGCGCATCCCGCCGGCTACGACCCCCGATCAACGTATGTCGACGAGACTACAGGCACAACAAAGACTGGCGGCGCCCCGATTGTCACGGCCATCCCCATTGCTGCTACGACTTTTGTTTCTGGAATGAATGCCTTCCTGAACATCAGCTATACTTTCATCGGCCAAATCACGTTGCCCAGTTTCATTGCGGAGATGAAGGATCCTAGGTAAGTCTACAATCATACTCTTTTTAGCATGTATGCTAAGCCAGGTATAGGGATTTCCCCAAGGCTCTGTGGGCCGTAACCATTGGTGAGATCATCGTCTTCAGCATTGTCGGAGCTGTCGTCTACGCCTTCGTCGGAAACCAATACATGACGGCTCCCGCCTTCGGCTCCCTCGAGGAAGTCTATAAGAAGGTGTCCTTCTCCTTCATGATCCCGACTCTCGTCTTCCTCGGCGTCTTGTATGCCAGCGTTTCGGCTAGATTCCTCTTCTTCCGTCTCTTCAAGGGCACCAAGCATTTGCACGAGCACACCATTGTCGGCTGGGGTTCTTGGGCCACCATTCTTCTTGCCTTGTGGCTTTTGGCGTTCTTGATTGCCGAACTTATCCCCTTCTTCTCTTCCCGTAAGTTTCGCTCGGCCAATGATCAAGAGTTTTCGCTAACTAGATTCAGTGCTTTCCCTCATGTCCTCTCTGTTCGATTCATTCTTCGGCTTCATCTTCTGGGGCGTCGCCTACTTCCGCATGCGAGGTGCCGATAATCGCGCCGGTGTCCCCAAGCCGGGAAAACTTGCCGATCTTACGACGATGGGTCTCAACATCATCATTATTCTCACCGGTCTTTTGTTCCTCACTGCCGGCACATACGCCAGTGTTGAAGGCATCATTGAAGAGTTTAGAGCGGGCACCGTCGGCAAGCCTTTTGGCTGTGCAAGCAACGGGCTTTGAACGGGGCCCAACATCAATTGCCTTTGTGCCATTGTAAGAGATTGACACATGACTTGGAGCGTCGCTACATGCTCGTAAGCAATATTATAGGGGGTAGAGGAAGACTAAAGCAACGATACCATAGTGTTTATTATCACGTCCTTTTGGCTATAAATAGATCAAGGCGCAGTTTCATGATCTATCTTTCGAACTTTCATTAGCGATGTCGACAATGATGGTCCCCGACATCAA